TGGGCATGCCTTTGTATTTGCCAAGGTGGTATTCAGCCATGATCTCAAAGGCATCTTCAGAGTGGCCTGCGTTATCGAACTCTACCGTAGCATCCTGACCAGCGGCGTCGATGAGCACGTCTGCGCCTCCAGGATGGTCGTGGATGTACTTGGTGACATCGTAGACTAAGGGGGGTCAGTCAGTGCTCACAGACTTGAGCTAGAGATGTGAAGCCAGTTGGGGAAAGGTAACACATACCTTGACCTTGGATAATCATCCAACAATCATCGCGGGTGTTATGAGCAGCGACCTCTTTGGCCGTAAACTCTTGCACATCTGCCATGTTAGATATTTGCAAGTCAAGGGGAGTTGGTGACGTTGAGATGTGCCATCTCGCCATGTCCCACGTCCGATCATATACAAACTCGCACCCTCACATAATGTGCCGCCACAAAAAGTCGCCGTCGCTTCCAAGGACAGGCCAAGGGTCCATGTTGAAGAACAACCCCCCTTCTATTGAGCGTGCCGAGGTTCGTAGTCACAAGTGGCCAAGCGTGGCCAAGTTTGACTCGGCCGAAATGCAGATCATGCCCCCCCCCCCCCCTACACAGTAATACAAGCCTCGAGACTCGCCAAACGGAATCTCCGTAGCGTTGCCATCGGCCCTTACCGGGCGGCTGATGGGACTCAATCTCCGACAGGGCATCGAGGTTTCGGAAGCAAGCCGAGGCGCCGGATCGCACGGCCAGCCGTTGCCGTTGCTGTCAGGGTTATCAAACAGACTCTCAGGGGGGCAAGGTGAAGAAATTTGCGCTGTGGAATCAGTACGATGATGAAATGATGGGTGGCATCCGTTCCCAGTGGTTGCATCAAAGAGTATGGGTGGAGCGGCCCGTTTGATGCTGGGTCCCGCCGATCGCCAACTGCCGGGCCAAACCTGGTTTCGATGTGGCCTTCGATGGGGCCTTCTCATGCGCTAGACAACGGTCCGTCGCCACCATCCTCGCGCCGTTTGATTTCACTGCATATTGGGTGTGTGCTTGTGTGATGGGAGAACTCGCCGAAGGTGGGATGCGGTCCACTGCAGGTTGAGATGCCTCGGCTTGTCGTCATGGGGCTACTGATTGCAGATATTGCGTAGAGCTCTCCAAAGGAACAGCTGAGAGGTAGGTGCCTAGGTACCTAGGTAGATACCTCCCTAGGGCAGTACCGTGAGGAGGCAGGTATATCACCAGAACAACTTCCTGTCATTGTTGTCAGGCATAAGCGGCTGTCTGCACTCCAAGGCATTGCGAATACCTACATTTACATCATGGCGATGAAAACGTTCTATCTCTTGGGCGAGGACCCTTCCACCAGTCAGGAGATTGAGGTTTCCAGCGCGCTGAATGAGCAGGGCCTCCAGCATCTCGTCGCATCGCACTTCGCCATCGTCGACCCAGATGGTAACCAAGAATAGCACCCTCTTCTAGATACCGAAGGTCCTTGACTGACTTTTCTAGGCATTGGCTTTGTTTCCGACAACGTGGCGCTCACAGCCATGGCCGACATCCTCGCTGCAGAAGGTCCCGTCGCCATGACCATCGACGGCAAGGCTGTGCGGGAAGTGCCCGGTCCCAAGGGCCTGCCCTTCATCGGCAACTACTTTGAGGTCTACCCCGACCATCTGGGTAACCACCAGCGGTTGTTCGAGAAGTATGGTCCGCTCGTCAAGACGACCAACCTTGGAAGCACAATCTACCAGACCAACGACCCTACCCTTGCCAACATTGTCTTCAGCGAGACCGACTTTTTCTCCAAGCGCATCATCGACGGCCACCCGCTGCAGCCCATCAAAAACAAGGAGGCCGGCGTCTTCCTCGGCGACACGAACACAGAGGAGTGGAAGGTCGCGCACAAGTTCCTGCCGCCAGCCCTCGGCCCCAAGGCCGTACGTCACTACGCGCCAACGATGCAGAAGACAGTCGAAGACGCCTTCAAGGTCTTTGACGAGCTCGACGACCGCGACGAGGCCTGGAACGTCTACCCCTACATGCTCAAGCTCGGCTCTCAGGCCGTCGGCAAGCTAGTCCTCGGCATGGACTTCAAGCACTTTGCCGCCGTCGACGCGCCGCCCCACGAGATGGTGATGCGCATCGCCCAGTCGCTCGAGCTCAACAAGAAGATCACCTCCATGGGCAGCTGGTACCGCAACCTGCCCTTCGGCGACCCGCAGCGCCTGCGTGATGCGCGCGATCGCATCGAGGCCATGATGCGCGAGTCGGTCGCCAACGCCGCCAAGGGTACCGAAGACCTCGAGCTCCAGGAGGCCGCGCTGCAGGCGGAGAACATGATCGACTACGTGCTGCGCGCCAAGGACGCCAAGGGCAACAAGCTGCCGGTCGAACGCATCATGGAGCCGCTCGTTGTCGCGACAGGTGCTGGCTTTACGACGACGAGCTCTCTGCTGTCGTGGCTTCTCTACGGCCTCGTCGTGTATCCGGGCATGCAGGAGCGGCTGCTACAGGAGCTCGTCGACCACGGCTTCTCCGACGACACGCAGGTCACGGCCGACCTCACGAACAAGCTCACGTTCCTCGACAAGTACATCAAGGAGACGCAGCGCCGCCACAACCCTTCCTATCAGCCGGCGCGCACAGCTTCGGTAGACATGATTCTGCCGGGTGGCTACAAGCTGCCGCGGGATGCCATCGTCATCCCGGCCATCCACCATATCCACAACAACACCAAGATCTGGGACAACCCGACGCTCTTCGACCCAGACCGCTGGGACACGGACCGCGTCAAGAACCGGCCCAACGCCTCGTACATCCCTTTCGCTGCGGGACCCCGCATGTGCATCGGCTTCAACTTCGCGCTGCAGGAGGTCAAAGTGTTCCTGCCAAAGCTGCTGTGGCGTTACAAATTCTCGCTGGCCCAAGACGGGCCGGTGGACTACGACCCCATGTTCCAGCTCATCCGGCCGAACAACCTCTACGTGCGCGCGGAGAGGCGGGTCAAGTGGCCGCCCAAGACGGAGTAGAGTGTGTCTTTGATTTACTGTAGCGATACCCAGGAAAGCAATGATGGCTGTACTTGTACTCTATTTTGGGGAGTTTATTCAGCGAAGCGTCTCGTCGTGAAACTGTTGATGAAATGCTGTATCTGAAGTCTATCGGCGAAGAAGCTCAATGATCAGACTGCTCCTCCTTGGAAGGTTCCGACGAAGCTCCCGACGCCTACTGTCCGCCTCTCGCCAGCCAATTCCGACGCTGCAACTCCTTCACCTCATGAACAAGCCCATCAATCGGCCCCTCTATGGGAATGTGCGGCGCGACATCAGCGATGCCCAGATTTGCGACCTGGGGCGTCGGGGCACCAAACTCGGCCAGCCAGGCCCTGTACTGGTTGGTCGAGGAGACGAAGACGATCTTGCCGAGGCCGCAGTAAGCGTGGGCCAGGGTGCACATGGCGCAGTGCTCGCCCGAGGTGTAGACGACAGAAGCGGCGCGCTCGTCGGCGCCGAGGTTCTGCTGGGCCCAGCGCGCGAGCTCAATCTCGGGATGGTATGTCGAGTCGGGCTTGCCGTCACCGTGTCGGCCTGTCACGGTGCGGTTGCGGTCTTGGTGCAGGATCTTGCCTGAGGAGGAGACGAGGACGGAGCCGAATGGGTCGTCGCCGGCGAGGAGGGACTCCTCGGCGAGCTTGATGGCGAGGTGCAAGAACTCGGCGTCTGGTCTGTCTGCCATGGTGGTAGTGGTGAGGATGCGGTGTTGTTGTCAGTGGGAGGAGGATTGGAAATCACAGATATGAGGTGGGCAGCGAGCTGGCTGTCATGACGTTGGAGCTACCCCACTAGGCACCCCGCGCCTCCTATTCCTGCTTACAATTCAAACATGAACCAACTAAACCTGATGCTGTGTGGGGGACTGGAATATCTTCACCTTTCTTTCCGAGCATAGGTCGTTATGTGCAGCATGGCATCAGTCAACCCACTAGTCCCGTTTCTCAAGCAATAGCAGACGGCACATGTATAACGCCCAACGGTTACCGAGGTAATTTGACTGGAAAGGGGCTTTAACAGGTTCAACTAGGTCATCGCAGGAACCTTTTCTTTGTTAATCGCTCTCTGGGGCCATAATTCATTGAAAGAATATCTGAACATCTTCAAACGCTATAACGGATTCGAAGCACCCCATGGCCGATGGTGAACATAACCAGGACTGCTGGTGTCACTGAAATCACCCAACTTCGACACTGCGTCCACCTTTCGTGCCCCTCCCCAAAATTGCCTGTACTGCGAATAAGACGTACTGCTGAATACGCTGCAGCTTCATGAATGCATTGTATGCTGACATTGAGTGATGAATATGGAATGAATGTGAGGGACTTTGCCCCCGGCTGCCTTGCGTGCAAGACAGCCGAGGGCTCGTGTTATCGTTCGAGAGCTCGCGGTCATCCCCTTTGAAGAGCGTCATAACGTTCGTATGCTTCTCGTCTCCTTCTCAGTGCAACTGCATATCGAGCCCATGGCCATTTGTCGGGCAGGCGCACCTTGGCAAATGCCCAGAAGTATCGGAGTCGTGCGCAGGTGATGCATCCGTCGTCCACCAGCACGTACGCTGTCTTGCGGCGGTCGAGAAAGTGTGGGAGCAGTCCTTGTCCGTGGTGGTAAGGGCAAACGACGCCTTTCTTCGGTCTTGTGCCGAGGGAGGAGAAGCAGCATCTGCAAAGTTCAACTTCGATCTTCCAATAACAGCCCCATACGCACATGATGCGCTTGCGGTGCAGGCCGAAATCGACGTCACTGATGAGAGCCGGACAGAAGAGATCAGTGGTGTGGACGTATTATAGAGCGCGATGGCATGACGTTTCGCGTTGAGATCTTCAGGGTTACAGTGGTGGTCAGAGTCAAATAAATGCCAGTGATTGATTCTCCGGAATCATGACACCACGAATAAGGTTTTGTTCAGCGGTATAAAATCAGACCCAACTCCAATGCTATGCAGACAACATTTTATCCGTTTGCGCCCCTCTGCCCTCACAAGGTGCGGCTGCCTATGCCACTCTTCAGCCCCTCGATGACGACTCCCCACCGGCCGCCGAGCCCCTTCTCCTTGACGGCCTCAGAGTACCTGCCCGTCGCGAGCTTGCGCATGAGCAGCGTATCCTGTGCGTTCTTTAGCCTCTTGCCATCGCCTTCGAGAAGGTAAGTTTCCAGCCACGCCTCCTCGTCCGCATCGAGCGACAGCCCGACGAGTTCAATGGCGCGGCGCGCCGTGTCATCGCCTGCTTGTGCATCAAGTACGCTCGACACGAGACGGCGGAAGAGCTGCTCGCGCACGGCAGCAGGATGAGTGCGCGAGAACGCCAGGGCCTCAGTGACGCTCGCGAGGGCGAGGGCGTTGAAAAGCAACTCGAGGGCGTCGTGCGTCTTGAGCACAGGCTGCACCGTGTGGAAGTAGGCGAGCGCGAGCGTGGGGTTGTTCCGTGCGAACGTCGTCACAATCTCGTCGGCAAAGTCTGGGGTCAGCGAGGGGTGCGTGACGTGCTCGAGGGCGCGCTGTCCGAGTTTGTCAGTTACGGCTTGCTCGCCTCCCTTGGGGGGGCCTGTCTGTTCATCATACCTCGAACTTGTGGTGGTCCAGAAGCCAGAGGCCCTTCATGAAGATCTGGTAGTTCTTCGGTACACCGGAAGCGTTCGCGAAGCGTGTTGAGAACTGCGCGCGGTTGTCGTGGCCGTCGGTGTCGAGCAGCAGGTAGTAGAAGATGGACAAGCGGTGGTGCGTTGAAATGTCGGCTTCACAGAGCGTCTTGTGTAGATTTCGCAGCGCAGTGTCATTCTTCGGAGGATAACTCTTTGCTGAGACATGTTAGAAGGGCGTCGCGATACACTTGTCTGCATGTTCAAGTAAGTACCTTTAGACAAGCCCAGTGCGTTCAAAACGCGGTCAATGAAGAGAACACCGCCAGAGCCCTTGCGGAAAGTCTCGATCTCCTGGAGAGCCTGCTTGTTGTAGGGGTTTCCTACAGGAGACCCGAAGACCTCGTCAAAGTTGGTGTAGTCAAGCATGGCTGCGGCGAAAGGGAGGATGGCCAATGGCTACTGGCGATGTCGCGACAAAATCGTCTATGGTGTTGAGGTGCAGACCAAAGCTCCCCACTCTCCATAGCTCAACCCCTTCGCGAATTCACGTGATGACGTAAAGTGGCTAGTGCCGAAGCAGTGGCTTCTTGTGGCTTGTTTGTTTACAATCGCCCGCCTAATCTGGCCGAAATCAAACAAAGGTGGGGGTAATTCAACACCACCAACACCGACTTTCAACATCAACACCGCCAATTCCCCATTCCCGTTTTCGCGTCACTCATTTCGTCACGTCGCGGTCGCTTTCATTTTCCTCGCAGACGAGATCACGGCACCAAACATCATGTCGGCAGCAGAGAGACCGCGCCGTTCGCGGCGGCAGGCTACCATTGTTGAATCCTCAGACGAAGACGAGATTGGCAACACCACCAAGGCGCAGGAGGAAGATCTCGAAGAATTCACGCCAGCGCCCGCGCGCAGCCCAACACGAAAGCCGCGGAGGAGTGTTGCTTCCACCGTATCCTCCTCCACACCCACAGCACCACGGTCACGCGGCAGGCCTAAGAAGAGCATGTCCAACGTGTCTACATCCACCATCGAGCCGAGCCAGGTATTCGACCCTGAAACAACCATCGCCGAACCAGAGCCTGAGAAGAAGACTCGCTCCCCAAGAAAACGCAAAAGCGTCGCACCCCGAGCCTCCAAGGCAAAGACGCCAGATCTTGAAGCACCCCTAGCTACGCCCAAGCCCTCAGCTTCTCCCGATGCATCAAGGCTGCATGCCATTCCGCTGGCTGATATCACAACTGCGAGCGTCAATGAGCAGCCGTCTTTCGTCGACGAAAGCCAGTCGGCAGTGAAGCCGATTCACGCCATGGACACGGTTCTTGAGAAGCCGATGGACATTGTCCTCAAGTCGCGCAACATGACGGTGCCCATCGTCGAAAACACCATTGCGAAGCCGCGCCTCGTTATCACTCACTTGGTCCTGACCAACTTCAAAAGTTACGCAGGTCGCCAGGAGGTCGGTCCCTTCCACGCGTCCTTCTCTTCAGTCGTCGGGCCCAACGGTTCCGGCAAATCCAATGTTATTGATTCACTGCTGTTCGTGTTTGGTTTCCGCGCCAGCAAAATGCGACAGGGCAAGCTTTCCGCGCTCATCCACAACTCGGCGCAGTACCCTAATCTTGACCACTGCGAGGTCTCGGTTCACTTCAAGGAGGTCATTGATCAGCCCAACGGCCCGCCTCTCGATATTCCCGATTCCATTCTTACTGTGTCGCGCAAAGCGTTCAAGAACAACTCAAGTCAATACTATATCGACAACAAGTTGTCCAACTTTACGACCGTGACGACTCTTCTCCGTGACCGCGGCATCGATCTTGATCACAAGCGGTTCCTCATTCTCCAGGGCGAGGTCGAGTCGATCGCGCAGATGAAACCCAAAGCGGCCAACGAACACGACGATGGCCTCCTAGAGTACCTTGAAGACATTATCGGCACTTCCAAATACAAAACGCCAATCGAGGAGACAGCAGCGGAGGTAGAGACACTCAACGACATCTGCATGGAGAAGAGTGGGCGCGTTCAGCACGTCGAGAAGGAGAAGAAAGGCCTTGAGGACAAGAAAGAAAAGGCCCTGGCGTTCATCCGCGACGAGAACGAGCTCGCGATCAAGCAGTCCGCTCTCTACCAGCTCTACATCAGCGAGTGCAACGATAATTTGTCGGTCACTGGTGAAGCCATCAGTCAGATGCAGGCACAGCTGGATATCGAGCTGGAGAAACATCACGGTGGCGAAAAGGTCATCAAGCAGCTCGAGCAGACATATGCGCAGGGCCGCAAGGAGTTCGAGGCCCACGAGAAAGACGCCCAGGGGCTTGTTAAAGAGCTGGCCAAGTTTGAGCAGGAACGTGTCAAATTCGACGAGAAGCGCAAGTTCCTGACGGACAAGCAGAAGAAGTTGGAAAAGACCACAGCCAACTGCGAAAATTCTGCCAAAGAAACTGATGAGACAATCGTTGAGTGCGCCGCTCTCATCGAGCGAGGCGCTAAGGAGATCGCCTCACTCGAAATCCGTATTGAAGAAGAAGAGGCCGAGCTCACAACGATTCGCGAGAGCCTCAAGGGCAAAACGCAAAAGTTTTCCGACCAGATCGCAGCCAAGCAAAAATCACTCGAGCCCTGGAAGGAGAAGATCAACCAGAAACAGTCGGCTATTGCCGTGGCCGAGAGCGAGATGAACATCTTACTTGAGAAGGCTAACGCTGGCGAAGTTGCCATGGAAGAGATGCAAGCCAAGATTGCTTCCATCAAAGAGAGCCGCCAGGCAAAAGCCCAGGAGCTCGAGGCTTGCCAGGCGGAAAAGGCAGCTCTTGAGGAAGAGGCCAAGGAGGTCGGCGCCGAGATTGAGGCTCTTGCCAAGGACGAGCCACGAATTCGGCAAAAGGTGTCCAACGCAAGGCAAAAGGCCGACGAGGCGCGGTCAAACCTGTCCCAGACGCAGACTCAGGGCAACGTCTTGACGGCCCTGATGCGCATGAAGGAGTCAGGTCGTATTGACGGATTCCACGGACGACTGGGTAACCTTGGTGCCATCGACCCCAAGTTCGACGTGGCCATCTCGACGGCATGCCCTTCGCTAGACAACTTCGTCACCGATACGGTCGAGGCTGGTCAGCAGTGCATCGAGTACCTGCGCAAGACAAACCTTGGCCGTGGCAATTTCATCTGCCTTGACAAGTTGCGAGCGCGCGACTTGCAACCAATTCAGACGCCTGAGGATGCGCCTCGGTTGTTCGACCTTGTCAAAGCCAAGGAGGATCGCTTCCGGCCCGCATTCTACCACGCTATGCAAGACACGCTTGTAGCCAAGGATCTCGCACAGGCAAACCGCATCGCCTACGGCGCGAAACGATGGCGCGTCGTGACACTCGACGGAGAGCTCATTGACAAGTCAGGTACCATGTCAGGTGGTGGCACGACAGTCAAGAGAGGTCTCATGTCGTCCAAGCTGGTCTCAGAAACAAGTAAGGATCAGGTTGCCAAGCTCGAGGCAGACCGTGACGCTCTGGACGAAAAGTTCCAGATGTGGCAGGACCATCAACGAGAGCTTGAGAACAGGCTCCGCACGCTCAACGACCAGATCCCGCAGCTCGATACCAAGATGCAGAAGATTGGCCTGGAACTCGAGTCGGCGGCCAAGAACCTAGCGGATGCGCAGCGCCGCGTCAAGGACATTGCCAAGGAGCACCAGCCGTCTCAATCGGACAACAACCGGATGGCTGAGCTTGAAGAGGAAATTGCCAAGCTCAACAAGGCCGTCGAGGGCCTGCACGAGGAGACAGCTGGCGTCGAGGAAGAAATACAAGCGTTACAAGACAAGATCATGCAGGTCGGTGGCGAGAAGCTGCGGATCCAGAAAGCCAACGTTGACGCGCTGCGAGCCGACGTCACATCGCAGAGCGAGGATATCTCCAACGCTGAGGTCCGCAAGGCCAAGGCGGAGAAGCAGCGTGTCAAGCTCGAGAAAGACCACGTCAAGGCAACCAAAGAAATTGAGGCGGCGGCGCGTGATCTCGAGAAGCTCGACAATGAGATTGAGAACCAGGGTGAGAACGCAGAATCTTTGACGAGCCGGGTCGAGGAGGCGCAGGAGGCGCTGGCAGTCAAGAAGGAGGAGCTCGCAGCCCTCAAGACGGAGCTCAACGGGAAGACGGCCGAGCTGAATGAGACGCGGGCCGTCGAGATTGAGATGCGCAACAAGCTCGAGGAGAACCAGAAGCAGCTGAACGAGAACGAGAAGAGGCTGCGTTACTGGGACGATAAGCTATCAAAGCTTGTACTGCAAAACGTTGAAGATCTCACTGGAGAGCCTGTGTCTGAGGACGCGCCGCCTATCAAGGATGAGCCTAAAGAGGAGGACGTCGACATGGACGCCCCAGAGGCGGACGAGGACGCCAGCATGGAGGACGCTGACACAACGGTGCGACCGGATCCCACGGCGCGCGTGCGCCAGCCGCAGGAACTCCCTTCGTACACTCCAGATGAGCTGGCGGATATGAGCAAAGAGAAGCTCAAAGGGGAGATTGCGACACTCGAGGAGAAGACGCAGAACGTCAATGTCGACCTCGGTGTGCTCGCCGAGTACCGTCGGCGCGTGGAAGAGCATGCGGCGCGATCCTCGGACCTCGCATCGGCAGTGGGCCAGCGCGATGTGGCCAAGAAGCGGTGCGACGAGCTCCGCCGGCTACGACTGGAAGGATTCATGGAGGGTTTCGGCATGATTTCGCTGAGGCTGAAGGAGATGTACCAAATGATCACAATGGGCGGCAACGCCGAGCTTGAGCTCGTGGACTCTCTTGACCCCTTCAGCGAGGGCATCCTCTTCAGCGTCATGCCACCGAAGAAGTCTTGGAAGAACATCAGCAACCTGTCTGGTGGTGAAAAGACGCTCAGCAGTCTGGCGCTCGTCTTCGCACTCCACCACTACAAGCCGACGCCGCTGTACGTCATGGACGAGATTGACGCGGCTCTTGATTTCCGTAACGTAAGTTGTGCTGGATCGTTGAGACTATGGGCAGATGCTAACAAGACACAGGTCTCAATCGTGGCCAACTACATCAAGGAGCGCACCAAGAACGCCCAGTTCATCGTCATCTCGCTGCGCAACAATATGTTCGAGCTCGCGGCGAGACTGGTCGGCGTGTACAAAGTGAACCACATGACGAAGAGTGTGACGATTGAGAACCAGGACTACATCACGAGGCAGAGGCAGGCGCAGGCGCAGGCGACGGGGACGCAGCACATGACTGCGCGGTCATGATGATAACGACGCCGGGGGCGTGAGGGATGATTGGCATGTTTGTATACAGCTTGAGGGTCATGATTCACGAGAAGGGTTGGGCAAGGGTATGATTTAGTGACTGGGCGGAGTTCATGAAATATCTGTGTTTGGATCGACTTGCGTGTTCTCCTCTGCCGATGACCGAGGTTTTTAATGAATTGTCTTGTAGCTCTCTGGTTTTCACAGTCCGAACCCCACGAGATCAATAGCCGAGAGACTGCAATCTCCACCACGTTTGTGAGCGAATAGCAATCTGATGTAAGCACGTCTGTCATACTCCGACTACAGTGTCTTAAGCGCGGGAGGACCTAGCATGCGAGTTCGGTGGTAAGTGTAAGGTGTAATGGTCTCATGGCAAGTCGATAGTCTGCACAACGAGGCGAATCTGTCTCCCACGTCTTGTGTGATTTTACCCCTGGACTGGCTGAAAAGCTCAATTGCAGGATCTGATGCGAGGGCCGTTACTCAGCCGATCTGAGTGATGGTTGAAAGAGTCAGGGATGAAAGGTGCTGTCGGGGGTGATAATTGTGTTGTGACACGTTCCAGGAACGAGGTCAGCAAACAACGAGCTTGTGAACTCCATGAATTCCATGCTGTCAAGCGATCGGTATCCCAACTTCTCAAGATGGATATACAAGGTTCTTTAAGCGACATGCTACCGAACTTGGCTGTAAAAGGCTGAGACCAATGGTTTTCAGCTCATCAAAGAAGAGTTCGAGCTCTAGGGTTATCTCGAGTTCCGACTGAATTGGGTTGTTATATAGTTGCGAAAACAGACTCCAGTCAGTTCGGAACGTGTTCCCCCTTAGTCGTCCTATTTTGCGCCGTCTTAAATGCGAACAGAAAACTGAAGGCCTTGTCGATATGCTGATTCTGTCTTTGTTCGCCATTTTGGCCCATGTTCTCCCGGTCTGGGCTAAATGCTCTGCCGATAACCTCGTTCGCGTTTTTGAACAAGCCGATGCTTGGCCTTATTGCGCCTCCTTGCTCGGCCCCAAAGACCTGAGCACGACGGTGCCTCCGCCGCGGGCTGCTGCTACGTACGCTCCTGACCGGTTGATTTCCGCAGTGAGTTGCACCCAAAAGTCTACTGCTTCTGTCAGTATTCGATCAGGCGACTGACTACGATAGTGCTCTTGTCTCTTGTCACTATCAATTCCATCTTCTGGGCAGGTCCCCAGTCACAGCGCTGCTGCGACTCGTTCTTATGAGCCTGTTGGTTCCTCAATGACCTCCACTTGCGGGCTTGAAAGCACCCACGTCTCCAAACCGCACAATAGCACGCAAAGCCATATATACACCAAAAGCAGAACGACAGAATCTCAGACAACGACTACTCGTTCCGGCTCTAGCTCTACCTCACAACAGTCCGGCCCAAAATCCACGTCAAAAGCTTTCACGACACGATCAACAACCATCCCCTACCTCACATCAACTACGACCACACAAACTCGCAACACATACGCCGCCCGACCCCGAACCTTCACTGGCGTCAGTGTCACGGGTGATTTAGATGCGACCGGCTGCTATGCGGTGCCTACGCCGACTGGCAGTCTCCGAGAGTCACGTCTAAACAACACAAATCGCAACCCTCCGTATGTGGAGGCTATTTACTTTGACCAAAATGCCACGCAAGCAAAGTATGTACGCGTTTTAGACCAAGCCTTAAACAGCCTCTTCTTTGACATTTCAGATCCCGGCCGCGTCGTGATTCAAGACAAAGACAGAAACTCATTGGCCATCGACAATAACGGCATCCACTTTGCGAGTTCGACGTGCAAGGTCAAGGTTGATGTCATGATTGACAATTTTTTCGGCCAATTGAACAACATTACGAACACCACATGCCTCGATGCTGTGCCTTCTCATGGCAACACTACGTCGAACGATCGAAATGACGCGAGGGGCTTGAAGGATGATGTGAAGCCACGTATGATGGCTCTTGAGTCTTTCTTCGTACTGCTCAAAATGAAGGACCAGTGCGGCGAGCCACTGCGCCCCGAACTCCGTCCCACCGTTCGCATCGGGCCTCTGCCCTGCCAGACACTCCAAGGGCCTCCTGGTACTTTCGTCGCAACATGCCCCTTCCCAAGCAGCAGTTCGACGGAAATGCGCTGCGAGGCCTCTGTAGATGCGCTCCTATCTCGCCTTGCGCGCGGCCGCCTGCCCGGCGCCTGTCCACGCCTCACCACAATTTGGGCCCTGCTCCTCAACCAGATGGGGCCTCGGTTGACCCAAGCCTCGCTGTTCCAGCCGTTCCTGGAACCGGGGCTCAACCTTGGTCCTAGAACACTGACCACCATTGCCGCCCTCCTCAACCAATTTCGCGCCCTGTGGGAGCCGGCGGGTGACTTCTTCGCCTCGACGACACGCGGCCAGTCTGCACTCGAAGATACGATTGCCTCCCACGGTGGCGCTCAAGCTCTCCGCAGGCAAGCTTGCCGTGCGCTCCACCAAGCACCGACACCGTTCAACCTCACGCTGGCCGGGTCGTCGGCTGTCGTCTTGGCTACGCTGAGAGCAGCACCGAACTCAACACTCGAGTACGCGAGGAACATGACGGACAGCCAACAGCTGGCTTGCTGTCCGAACGCGGGCACGTGTACTGGCGGTGGCGCGGACGGGTCGTACGGCCGTGAGGCGCTGGTGCCGGGCTCGAACTGCATCTGTGGAAGGACTGTCGACGGTTCAGGGGTTGCGTTTAGGACTGGGCTGTGTAAGGGGTACGATGCTTGTGATGCCGACAGACCGTGTGGCGAGGGAATGGCTTGCTTGGTGGATAGCTGCTGCGAGACAAACATATGTGTCAATGGCACAGAGTGTAATGCGCCGGGGTTGGCGAGGAGGATGTTTGGAGGTGTAGATAGGGATGCTCGCGGTGGTGCATGAAACACGCGAGCGACATGAAGTTGGCATGTCGGCAGAGATTGGTGAAACCATGTTGAAGCACAGCTTAGAGACCTGAGAACACTATTTCCAATGCAGTTCACATGCACATCACATCACGGTAGCTTGAGCTGGCTTATTTTTTCCATTGTCTATGGCCCGATCCCTAGACACCGGCCCATCCTGCCATGATCCGTTTCGTGATTCATGAGCCGAAAAAGACTTTTGGCTGTGTTCATCCGCTGCGCTTCCTCCCAAACATGACATGCACCGTTTAAGCAGTGGTGGTCTTGGCGCCCTGGGTGGGGACGATCTTCTTGCCGTCCTTGTTGTAGCGGACGCGAGGAGGAGGGGCACGGTTGCGGCGGCCGACGACGGAGCGGACACTAAAAACTTGTCAGCAAAGGTCCTGCTGCTGAAGGGATACTTCAGATAGCTTCGTGTGGTGCTGACGACACTCTCGCTCCACCTGCTGCCCCGACTCGTCGTTGGACGAGACTGGTGCGGACGGAGAGACAGTGGCGGGCGACCACACGACCAAGGCTCATCTGAAGCGCATGCGCGCAGCGAGGCGCGCAGCCGTCGCGTGTTGCGACGAACGTACCGGACAATCTTGCCGTGAATGGCGCAAGAGACGCAGTACTGCAGCTTCAGGTACATCTTGGGGACGGTGTACTCGGCGAAGACCGAGGCGTCAGAGATGTCACCTAGACTGTTGTCAGCGAAATCCAGCGAGGGGTACAGAGCGAAAGGTGGCATACGGATGGCGGCAGACTCGACCATGTTGCGGATGGTGAACCTCTTGATCGCCTTGTCCTTGGGCGTGCATCGCGAGCAGTTGCTGCAACGGATGGGCTTGACGTGGCCGCGGCCCTTCTTGTTGCGGCCGCTGGGGAGGTTGTTAGCTATGATCGATAGACATGGCGGTCGAGTGCCTCGAGGAGGGTCGATCGGGTTGAGGCGTACTTGTTCTTTCTCTTCTTGACCATTTTGACGGATCTGCTGGGGTTAGTCGGCTGATGTGAAGGACGAAGGAAGATTCAACATACTGAGCTTTTCTGTGTCGAGGAAAAGTTGACGTTCGGTGGGCTGCAAGGGGGGTCCGGGTCCTGAGGGAAAGAATAACGCCTGCAATTGGGGGAACTCGCTTGTGTTGGGATCCACTCTGGCGATGCACAGTATTCCGATGCCAGACCAACCCTAGTCACGTGTGGCCTGAAGCGCAGTGTGGTGAATCTTTGTGGGTTCGCCAAAGCAACGCTACCAAATGTCCAAGCCCTGACTCTGCCCTGGTCTCTGGAGCACCTTTGCGACCCCCTGCCTGCCCTGTCGCCCGCTCGCTCGCTGGCTCGCCCCCCGGGCTCCACCCACCACCAATTCTTTTTACGCCGGCGCAACACCAACCCATATCTACTTCTTCTCCTCTCTCCCCCCACGACCGCACCATCTGAAGGATTGCTTAGGAAGGCAAATATTTGTCGAGGTATGTCTGGAAGATGCTGCACACTGTCGTCCTCGTTTGCGCGATGAAGCCCGGGAAGGGGTGATTGTCGCCGTCGACTGGCAACGCTCACTCGCGCCTTTATTCTCATTGCGCGATGTCGCCGCCGCGCCATGAAGAAAGTCGAAATCTTCCTCTTCTCGGAAAACTTCATCGCCTGAACGCCGACGGTCAGTTTCCCTGCGAGGAGCAACAACTAACGACCATCAGCAGGCAATCATGCAGATCTTCGTCAAGACCCTCACGGGCAAGACTATCACCCTTGAGGTGGAGTCGTCCGACACCATCGACAATGTCAAGTCCAAGATCCAGGACAAGGAGGGCATCCCCCCCGACCAACAGCGTCTGATCTTCGCTGGCAAGCAGCTTGAGGATGGCCGCACTCTTTCCGACTACAACATCCAGAAGGAGTCCACCCTGCACCTCGTGCTCCGCCTGCGTGGTGGTGGCAAGAAGCGCAAGAAGAAGGTCTACACCACCCCCAAGAAGATCAAGCACAAGCGCAAGAAGACCAAGCTGGCCGTCCTCAAGTACTACAAGGTCGACTCTGACGGCAAGATCGAGCGTCTCCGCCGCGAGTGCCCTGCCCCCGAGGTATGTACAGATTCTCGCCCCCCTCAACAGAGAAGCACCATGTGAACAGAATGCTGACCCCTCGGACAGTGCGGCGCTGGTGTCTTCATGGCCGCCATGCAGGACAGGCAGTACTGCGGTCGCTGCCACCTCACCTACGTCTTCGACCAGAAATAAGCGACAGCATTGATGGACGATGGACGAAAAAAAAGAGTGAGATGACACGACATGCACGGGTTTCGGGATGGGCATTCAGTCGGCTAAGGAAGGATGGCCGCGGCGTTGATGTAGCAAAACACCATCAGCCCATCAGAGGCTGGCAATGACAATGCTTTCAAGTTACCTCACTTCAATTGCTGTGCATATCATGTGATGTCTCCATTCGAATTCTCGTAACACAAAGCCGATAATTCCGAGAAAGGAAGGCTGCTACTCAAATCCGTTTCGCAGATTATCGTACTTCGTATGCGGCTGGGTGACACAGTTCTCCTGCCGCCGAAGACCTCCCGGACCTCCAAACGCCTGGACGACATTCCCAATCAAGCTGTCAGGGCCCGTCTTGTCGGCGCTGCTCTCCCACCACATGGCTCCGCCGAGCCCGCGCTCCCGTACGAATTGTGCCTTTTTCCGCGCCATACCGACCGTGTCGTACGTGACGAGCTTCCGCCGCCCCGCGTCCCACGACCAGCTCGCCCCGACTTCGTCATCTTCCACCTCCTGCGCCCCCTCTCCCGGCAAGGCCTTGAAGTCCAGCACGCCCTGCTCCCAGCTGCCCTCGCCGACACCTTGGTACGCACACCCGGGCCCGTCCGTGTTCTCAAACGCCCGACCATAGAGCGGCATGCCCAGGACGATCTTGTCGGCCGGGACGCCCCTGGCCGCGTAGCCCTCGAGCGCCGCCACGGTGCTAAAGGGCGTGGCACCGGGGTTCGCGCCCGACGGCCGCAGGTTCGCCTGGTGCCCGGCCCTGGCGTCCCATGACCCGGCGTAGTCGTAGGCCATGAGGTTCCAGAAGTCAAGCAGCGGGTCCATCTCGGCGAGGCGCATGCGTTCGTAGTTCTGCGCGCCCGCCGGGCAGGCGACCGACAGCTCAAAGTGGTACGGTGCCGGCAGCGTGGCGGCGTATGCGTCGAGGGCGCCGCGCACGGCGGCCAGCAGGGCGACGAGGTTGCGCGCCTCGTCGTCGTTTTGCGGGTATTCCCAGTCTATGTCTATGCCGTCAAAGCCGAGATGCTTGACGAGGTCGACGCAGGTGCGGGCAAAAGTCTCGCGGCCGGCGGCGGTCGCGGCCGGGGCCTTGAAGTTGGACGAGTAGGTCCAGCCGCCGATGGACAGCAGAATCTTGAGGTTGCGGTTGCGGCGCTTCAGGAGGTTCAGCTGCTTGAGGCAGCCGTAGAGGTTTGTCCCCGAGTCGTTCCACGAGTCACCCTCCCAGTGGATGTCCGTGTCGGCCCATGTGTCGGTCAAGTATACCTCGCCCGACTCGGGCCGGACGTTGGCAAATGCGTAGAGAACATGGGTGAGGTTCTCTACAGGCAGGTCTTGTGGGCGATGTTTCCGGCCGTAGATGGCCCTGGAGAAAATTACAAGTTAGCAGTCTACTCTGAGTAAAGACCCCAATGGAGGCAACTCCATGGAGGGGAAACATACCAGTTCACAAAGTACGCAACGCTGCGGTAGCCCTCGCCTGGTCCGCCTCCCATAGTGTCAGTCGTCGTGAAGGGGAGGGGTAGATTGACAAGAGTATCAGTGTAAGTATGCAAGAAAAGCAAGAGTGTCAGGAGCACAGCAGCAGATGTGAAAATGGTAGGAATAGGCTGCGCGAGATGCATATGGGGTCGTTATGCTGTGCAGGTGTGAGATCGAAGACGAAACCCCAAAACGTCGTCAGGTCATGCCCCGCTGTATGTCACTGCCCAGCTTGTGAGGTCACTGCTCAGACGAGTGGCGGGGCATGAGTAGACGTGATTGGGCGTATGAAGGGACCATCCATCTCTCAATATCAACATCAACATTTTCAAGACTTCAATGTTCTTGGAAGGCACGGGTCGCTTTCTGTTTGCATGGTCTTGTGCGACCTGAGATCCAGGCATGGCTCTGATGCTCGTCCCACTGATGTAGTCCGGAGGCCGATGAACTTTGTCCCCCGGTGAAGTGGATCCTACGCCGCCCCGTTGTGTCCTCGCCGAACCAAGGCATTGTCAGTGTCACCGAGGGTCATTCTAGCTTAACCTAAACTCTATCAGATAGTATACTGCAGACGCTCGGCTTAAATAGACAATGCGATGGTTCTTGTGAATGATCGATGGAAGGTTTTTTGAATCGCGACTACATGGCCCAAATTCCCGAGATGGTCATCACGTGACTAAACAACTGGTCTTGGTAATCATCACCAGGCAGCATCGCCGTCAACACTCTGCCATCACATTTGTTCTTCCACAGCACTGCCGTGATGGGCCCCCTGGCGTTCTTTACACGGGCGCTGGTCGCTTTTGAGGTGAGCCATCTCTACCCATGGTTGCCGGACATCTGCTAACTGGACCAGGACATCATCGTTCGACAGGTTTGCCATTTCTCCTCCCTCGTCCCGAATCTCGACTGACGGCCCAGATTCTCAAGAGCCCCGGCTTCCATCGCGGAGTTGGTCGCATTCACAAGATGGTACACGAGCGAAAGTACGGCCGTAATCCCCATGAACCGCTGTACCCCGGAGAGGCTACTGGTACGTTTGTTTGCTCGGCAAAAGAGAACCTAGGCTGACCTTTCTAAAGAGGATCATAGCGTCAAGTCGAATACGGGCAAGTTCCGACAATACTTTGTGGAAGAGATCAAGGACCAATGGAAGGGGACAGTCAAGGACTATCCGCCAAAGCGATGATTGAATGGCTTGCGGGAGAATGACTGGACCACGCGATCAAGCGAACAGGAACCGAAGGGGTTGAAACACCCCACTCCAGGATGCGATCGAAATGAGTTCTGGGCGTCTCGGCTTCGCATTCGAACAAACGAACAAACGAATTCTATGCCCCTTCATCCGCTGGAAAAATGCCGATATTGGGAAGCAGCCGAGCCGCGATGACTTTGTCCGCCTCACATCTGGGTCATGATACATTATGCATAAGACGACCTACCTCTGGGGAGGCGCACAAAGAAGGAGCATGCACAGCGCCATCGGACGCTATCAAACTACGGCAAGTGTGCCGCGAGACACTTCGGGACTCGCGAGGCTATTTCACTCCGGATTCAGAGACTGGGGCGACACCGGAATATCCGACGATGCGCAAACCATACTCGGCCTTCTAGGAGATCCGAGGATGCCGCAGCGATGCTTGTACAACATTACTACAATCTTACCATACTTTCCCCTACCCGGTGTTAGCATCTTCGCATTGTGCTCATGATACTCCTGCTGCTTACAGCCTCGAGTCTGCAGGTAGTTCCTGTTCAGGTGCTTGGCAATAACAGGATCAGCTGCGACCTTAACTCCGCGGCACACAATCTCGCGCAACACCTGATCCTCATGGCGACGTCGCGGGGAGCGCAGAGGCGACATTGTTAAAGCGATCGTCGGAGCAGACTCGCCCGCCTTGTCGTCCCTGTCGATCCGGGGCTGTTGCCGATTGATCAACGGAGCTCGAGCGCCGATCAGAGACCCCTCGACCTACGGAGCCAAGAGCTTGGAGGACCTTGCATTTCTTTGACAAGTTGATTGTGTTGCACTCTGGCATCGGCCTGCACCATCCGACCAAGTACGGTGCCTGGGCGACCACGTGAAGTCGTCAAGGGGTTTCGTGCTAGATCAGGGGTGATGGAGCCGGCGATACCACACAGGTATTCCACCTTGAGGGGAATACCTCATTCCGCCATGTCGTTGCAATCTTGGTTTCCCCGCATGCATTTCGTTTGCATGCCTTGGCGAAGGGTGTCGATGAAATAAAGTGGCCGTTTGGGCGGTCCTCCCGGCCAAGACCTTCCGGCTAGCCTTATTGCGGACCTCGGAGGAAGCCGCAGCGACCACCACAGCGATACCAATTAATGCTCGCCACCAAAACTGAAGGCGACATCGTGGGCGTTCATGAGGCACCTCAAACTGCCGTTTTGGTTCCGGCGCAAGCCACCCGAACGGCTTGTCGGGCTGCATTGCGGCCATTTCGACGATGCCATTTATTGAGCGAATGCTGCTGTTCACCTTTGCTGGCCACTCACGCTTCACGTCATTCTCTCGACTGCCGCCATCATGAAGTCGCAAATCGGTTTCGCCGCGCTCCTGGCGCTCTCTAACCAGGCTCTGGCCCAGCAGACGGCGTATGGCCAGTGTGGTGGTAACGGCTGGACTGGCCTTACGACCTGCGTCTCTGGCTACTTCTGCAATGCGTACCACGAGTGTAAGTGGAATCATCGAAGCGAATGACCTCAGACCGCAGATGGCTAACATGATCAGGGTACTCTCAGTGCATTCCCGGCCAAGCCCCCCCGGGCACAACCACCACGGCCCCGGCTCCTCCTGGCACGACGACCAGCACCAGACCTGCCACCACATCTGCGGGCACCACCTCTGCGGTCACCACGAGGGTTTCAACAACTACGTCTTCGGCGCCTCCCCCTGCGACGACCACGTCCGCCGGTAGCTGCTCCAGCTCCTTCACGTCCATCTCGGCCGCCGATTATGTCGATGCCATCAGCCCCGGCTGGAACTTGGGCAACACGCTCGATGCGATCCCTAACGAGGGTTCCTGGAACAACCCACCCGTTGATGACGGCACCTTTGACCATGTCGTTGACGCCGGCTTCAAGAGTGTCCGCATTCCGGTCACCTACACCGCCCACCTCACCAGTGGCGCGCCCAACTGGACTGTCGACACCGTGTGGCTGCAGCGCGTTTCGGATGTCATTGATCAGGCTCTGGCTCGCAACCTCTATGTCATCACCAACGTGCACCACGGTACGTCTCAGAATTGCTTTTTGGTGACTTGGCGGCGTGCTCACCGCCATCTCGCTGGCTTCCGCTGACAGACTGAAGACTCGTGGGAGTGGGCAGATGTCCGCAGTGGCGACCTCGCTGTTATTCAGCAGCGTTTCCGCGCCATCTGGGTGCAAATCGCTAAGAAACTCGCTTGCAAGAGCTCTCGTGTTTCGTTTGAATCCATCAACGAGCCCCCCGCCGACAACGCAGTCGATGGCGCCAACGTCAACAAGTTCAACGAGCTTTTCGTTAGTGCCGTCAACGAGGCTGGCGGTCACAACGCCAAGCGTGTGCTCCAACTGGCCGGCGGTGTCAGCGATCCTATCAAGACGACTCAGTGGTTCAAGGCCCCCGCTAACATTCAGAACCCTTGGGCCCTTCAGTTCCACTACTACTCGCCCTACGACTTCATCTTCGGTGCCTGGGGCAAGACCATCTGGGGCTCTGCCGCTGACCGCGCTGCTCTGACCGCCGACTTCCAGGCTGTTCGCGGCAACTTCTCCAACGTGCCCCTCGTCCTCGGCGAGTTCGATGCCAGCCCCCTCAACACGGAGCCTGCCGCACGCTGGAAGTGGACTGATCATCTCGCCCGCATTGCTACCGATCTCGGCGTTGCTCTCGTCATCTGGGACAATGGTCTGGATCATCTCGACCGGAACACTGGCGTGTGGCGCGATCCCGTGTCCATCGCTCTCATTGAGGCTGCCGTTGCTGGCGAGCGCAGCTCCCTTCCCGACAGCACGGAAGATGCCGGCGCGTCGACTCAGTCGTCGTCTGCCTACCTCTGGAACAAGGTCGGCAATGCTGTTGCTGATCAAGTGCTTCCCTGGCTCTTCAACGGCAACACCCTGACTGGTATCACAACCCAGACTGGTGACGCCTTGTCAGCGGGTTCTGATTACACCGTGTCCTCCAATGCCATCACCTTCAAGGCCGGCTTCCTTTCTGACTACCTCGGCCCCAGTGTGACTCCTGGCAGCAAGGCCAACCTTACTTTGACCTTCTCGGCCGGTGCCCATTCTAACATTGAGGTTGTCCAGTGGGACACACCTGTTCTCGTCACCGAGCCCGATGCCACTCCCGGCCAGGACCTCCAGATCCCCATCCAGTGGAAGGGCGTACCCGTGCTTGCCGCTGTGCGTGCTGAGGCTGCCGACGGCACCATCCTGTTCGATGACTGGACGCAGTGGCTCGGGCCTCTGCAACGTGGACGCCTGGTAAGGTCCCGAAATGTCCGACATACGAGCTTGTTTGCTAACAAGTGACACAGACGTTCAACAGCCACTACTTCTGGGAGGGCAGCAATGTCATTCTGCGCGCGTCGGCCATCGCCGCCGTGCTCGAGCTGAACAAGGCCGTCAAGTTCACCTTTGAGTTCTACCCCCGTGTAGCGGGCAACTCGGTCACCTACACGCTCGACCCGACGGACGAGTGTTAAGCGTCTCCGGGTGATTTTGGAAACAGGAAATCCATGCCATATTGTGCTGTAGCTTATGCGCCGTTGTCAAAACCTTATACAAAGCTAGGCCATTTGTCAAGTTGTTCCGAGGACCCGTGACTCTGGAGAAACTCCAGTGATCCCAAGAAATGAAACGTTCCTCTGCCGGTTCGTCTGCCGCCAAGGCCCTGCTTGCCCCACCAGCTAGTTATTCCAGAGGTCCTCGGATCTGAGAAGCAATTTTTGGCATCACTTGTTTCCATCACTTGTTTCCATCACTCGTATATCTTAACCTAACCAATAACCTGTAGCTAATTTTCTCCTCACACTAAAATGGACTCCGTAATATCTTCCCACGCAACCCCTAGTGTGTGAGAGATCTCGGAGGCCACTTCCATTAGCTACTCAGGTCGTACCAACTGAAACAGTAAGGCTTTTTCTGCCTTGTGGATCGGAAGGGCTTGCAGCGGTGCACTCGTGGCCTGTGCAACTCGTCATTCTTTCCCCTTCTGCAATTTGAAGCTTTGGAACGTACGACTTCGGACTGCCACTATGGCCCCTCGAGTCTTCCTTTTACGTCCCAGATACGACCTGCATTGTTTTTCGGTGGTTGAGGTTCCTTGAAAGGCGTTTTGACCTTATCTTCGCGCCCTCCGTCATTCGCAGGATCTTCTGTTCTTACAGCTCGACATCGGTCGAAGCGCCGGATTCCGTTTGGCGACATTATGTAGTGGCCCGAAGAGACGTCGAGTGCTTGAACTTGCGTACGCTTCGTATCTGCCAGCTTCGCTAGAGGGGGTTTGAGACACGCGGAAGGAGAATTATTGCTTTTAACACAAGGCAGACTGGGTATCAACTTATGGAAGGGGCTTGGGTTCTATCATCCATGACTTTACTCGGGCATCAGCCGCCCATGTGCGACACGAGACGCCGTCGAGCCTTGCGGTCTGCCCGATAGTCGTAGCGTCACATGGCATCGAGTTTAAGCATAATTGCTCGTCGATCGTTAAGAGGATACGGTGACGATCAATGAAAGACCTTCTGGATCGGAATCTCTCTGAAATATAAATTGTGACTGATTCGCGGCCAATACAAAACGTAGCCATCCTCACCGATGATGATCGTTATTGTTGTGTAACATATTGGTTGGAGCAGGCTGTAAAGCTCTTCACCGATCTTTTGCCCAGCAATCGGTGGGCTAAATCCCAGTCATGAGCAGCTGGTACGTCAGCCTTCGCAGTTTGTCGTTTACCTCGCCCCTCATCTCATCTACTAATATTCTTACAGCCGTCATCAATACGTCCAGTGCCAGCAGTCTTTGTAGGTACTCCCAGAACTTATTCCACCATACCACCCTTTGCAGATGTATCGGTACCGAGAACACGCGGCGGCGGACGTGGAAAAATATGCCAGGAGCTTCGAGAGCCCGAGCACCGATGATGTTAGGAGGAGGCCGTGGTGAGTACACAGCCTCAGATATCTTTAAACCCCGTTTGGATCGATTTGGTAACTTTAGCAGGAAGTACATCGGGAAACACGGCCTGGTTTCATTTATTGCATCAGATCCAAAGTTGCTCGCAGTCAGACGATTTGACAAGCTACACACGTTATCCATTCTCCGCCTCCAAGATGAGCTAGCAGACTATGAAGAAAAGCTCGATCACATGGATGCAAGACTCAGCTCACAGCATGTGATGCTGGTGGGTAAGCGCCCATCGGTGGTTGTTGATGTCCCACCAGGAGGGTTCTCTAAAGAAGTCAAAGCCTGGTACCGACAAGCATATGGTGATGATGCTGCGCCGAGACATATTAACAACGGCACCTTTCGTGACGAAATAGCTGAACGCAAAGAACTGACGGAGGCAATATTTTCTAAGCTCATGGTTTACGGCAAGTACGACGCGGAACCTTAGCAGATCTCGCAGCTGATCATCAAACTAGACAAGCTTCTCATGCGCTACTTCAAGCTCCACTCGAAACCAGCAGCGTCCTCATGGACCAGAAATAATATCCAAGACTGGTTTAGTAGTAACTGTCAGGCAGTAGTGGCAGCAGAGCAGGGTTTTATAGCCCGCAAAGATGACTTGATCGGGCTTCTTGCAGAAAAGTCGCCGATGCGGCGGTTTTTTGAACAAAAAGTCATTTATCCAACGAGAAACAGCCTACGTCTCTTCAGAAAGAAGCCGGCAGAGGACCTCGGTCGCCAAGAACAGTCGATGTATTATCGGTACAGCGACGAAGACATCAATAGGCTCGCACGAATTGCTTCTCTTTCAGTAACGATTCTCATGTTTCTCGTACCAATGTGGATCATGCACACTTTGGGCGGCACGCTGTCGAAGCTGATTGTAATCACAGCCTTCTGTTTGGCCTGGTCCGCGTTTTTGGCCATTGTAGCGATCGGGTCGGCGGCGAACAACTTGGCAACAACAGCAGGGTGCGTAGTAACTGGCCATTGTCCACCAGGTAACTTGGCTAATCTGCGTCTCCCTCAGTTATTTGGCGGTGATGGTTGTTTTCCTGCAGATCGGGCATCCTAATGCGTGAGGAAATGTACTGTCTGCGTGGACGATAGATGCCTTAGATACCTAGGTATCTTCAAGCACCTGATTTCTTTCGCCTCCGTGTTCGAGCCGCCGACCCGTGCCGAAGGCATCGAGGCCCGAGTGGGGCCGGATTTAGTGGATCGAGTGCACATCTTAATCCAACGTCCCACCAAGTCCCACCCCTCACACCGGGCCCTCGCTGTTACTCACGACTCCACGACCCAAGACGGCCATGGACACAGGCAACCCCCCGCCGGCATCATCCTCATTCTCGGCCGCGCATTGTTTCCCGAATCGGCGCCGCGTCTGGCAAGCATGCACCAACTGCCGAGCCCGCAAGACGCGGTGCGATGCGGCGAAACCAAAATGTAGTTTATGCATGGCCCAGAACGCTGACTGTGTGTATAAGGACTCGAACCAGCCACGCATCGATCACAATACTCGCATCATGCTGGAGCGTATTCAACTGCTCGAAGATCGTTTGTTCTCCTCCCCGGTCTTCGGTCAACCTGCGACAACACCCTCACATCCTCCACAGTCGCTCGTTCAGCCAGACCCTGCTGAACAGCTCGGAGGAGCAACCTCTTCCTCTTACCTCAGAGATCACCACGGCGATGCCATGAGCACAGATGCTGCAGAAACTGACAAGCAGATTCCCATCCCGTTGTCACATACCGCCAACGCAAATCACGTCTTGGAATGGCCCATTGTCCAGCAGCTACTATCTCAGACACATTCAGCTCCACCACCAAAGCCGGCCTTGGGTGATATGCAATCGACAGAGGCTACAGACATCTTCTTCACCCAGGACGCGCATGCGGCGCCGAGCCTGTGCCCGCCGGAATCCTGGAGGCTGTTCAACAAGCAGGATTTCGCTTCTTCCGGTGCTGTGGGCTACTACCGCGAACTCATCCAGACATACTTTGACGAAGTCAATATCTTCTTTCCGTTACTATCATTGGACTACGTTCAACGTCTCTTTGATGCTATTGTATCTTTCGAGAGCTCAAATGACGATCAAGACGATATCGCGCCTGCACTTCACTGCCTGGTGCTGCTTGTGCTGTCCTTTGGCTCCTTTGTACATGATGGGAGGTGTCGAATTCGCCTTGCAGGAAGCAGCACTGTCACACCACTGCCTTCACAAGACTATTCATCTTTGGATGATCAACTTTGGCGGAAAGCCAAGCTTCTTCTTGGCTATGTTTCATCCGACTTGACCCTCGAGGCGGCGCAGTGCACCATGCTCGCGAGGTAAGATATTCCCCAGCGGACTGACGAGACCGTCTGGCTGACATCCCTTCTCACCAGCCTATATACGGGCGCAATGGGACGAGTATCAGACTCCTTCCATTGGGCGCACGCCACAGCTGTCAAGTGCGAGGCCCTCGCCAAACGGGTCACCGCCGATACCACAGAGACTGGCGTCTTCTCCGAGTCCTTCCGCCGTCTCTACTGGGTCGCGTTCATCTACGAAGGCGATTTCATATCAGAAGTCTCCATCACCCTCCCCTCAGGCATCGCCCGCTACGAAGACGTCGTTCCCTATCCCGTTCAAGAAGCGCCGTCTCACGCCCGCCGACCCCCCAGTTCCTCCACTGCCCAGCACCTCTCCCCCAGTGCCGCGATGGCCATCAGCCCCGCCTCGTCATCCCTCGACCGCACCGAGGAGCTCGTCGCCTTCCAGATCAGCACCAACGCCGCCATCCGCCGCTTCCTCAACCGCGTCAACAGCGTCGTCTACGACAGCAAGGACCAGTTCCGCATGACGCGCGCCAACTATGCCAACTGGCTCCTCCGCATCACGGAGGACCTCTGGTCCTTCCACGGCGCCATCTACCAGAACCTCCCCGACTTTCTCCTCACCAGCAGGCCACGCAAGCCCACAGGGTCGCCCGCCACCCCGGGTTTCCCGTCCGTCGAGGAGCTGGGCAACAACCCGTGGAACGTGCTGCGGCTCGAGGGGCGGTACTATGCGGGCCAGTACATCATCCACCGCCCGTTCATCGAGTACGTCCTCCTCAACGTCAGTCACTTTGCGACGCATCCGTGCCGCGAGGCTGTGCTGGAGCGGTGCCGCCTGTGTCTGCTTGGGTGCAAAGGGTTCATCCATGTCTTCGACGTAGATCCCACCAACAGCGTGACGGGGCTCTTCGCCGCGGGTATGGTGTAAGTGTTGTCTGCATCCTTCTTGTCGCCTTGGTCCGCGATGCTGACTTGCGCAGGACGTTTACAATGGTCATCATCTTGAGAGTGGCGACCATGTGTCCCGTGTTTTGCGATATTCTGCCGCCCGAAATTGAGCGTGCGATTGTTGTCGGTGGGCGGAATCTGCGTCGATTCAGTGGAAGTGTCAGGGAGTTTGAGTGGCATCTGGGCGTCTTGGAGAAACTAGAAGAATCTTGTCGTAGGCAGGGGGGCGATGAATGAGTTTGTCATAATGCAAGACAGTGGCACGTCTCCTCATGCTATGAACTCGGGTCTTTCAGCTTCTGCAATTGCCAGCCTCCACGAGTAGGCTGACCGCTCCTACAGTACAGTGGCCTCTTCACGATGCGGGCTCACTTTCAGAGGGATGGTGTGCAAGTGCTTGTATATGCGCTACATTTCAGTTCGGTTGTAGACAGTTCTAAGTCCAGTTCTGTTGCTGACCCCTTTTCCACGTGAGTTGGTTCCTGACACCGCATGACAGAAACCTTCGTGTTGAGAATCATTCTTTCATCTAGATATCATGCATAAACCCAGTTCACGCCGCCACTGGCACGGGCGTCACCTCTACCCTCTCATTCCTCTTTCTCTTCTCATCCGGCGCCAGCTCAAACACGCCCACCCCAGATATTGTCTCCTTAGCCTTTGTCCTCTCCTCCACCGACGGCTGAATCACTCTGCCCTCGAGCCTCTTGTCCGCCGAGGTCATGGGAGCGTACAGCTTGAGCAATTCATTGAGCCTGTCCCTCTGCAGGCAGTTCTCGATTTTCCAGCTCGCCGCCAGAGCATCGAGCTCCTCAAACGTCTTGTCCTTGAAGTAGTCGGCCCACTCCTGGACCATGTACTCTGCCATGGTAATGCCGCGAATGCCACGGAACACGTGCATGTGCATGCGCCACTGCCAAGGGTACTTCTTGCTGTATTGCGCCGGCACGTTGTCCTCGAACCACTTGTGCAGCGGCCCAAAGAGGCCGTCCTGAAGGTGAGCGTCGTCATAGGCCCAGCTGTCCACGGCCAGGTCGCGCTTCTTCTTGATTATGGGGGCGAGGAGCTTGAGCCAAGGCGACTCGGGGGAGAGGTAGGCCAGGCCCATGACGTTGATGTCTTTGTAGCACCAGATGGACCATGCTGCGAGCTGTTAGCCGTGTTGTTCCTTCCGTTGGTGTCGCAATGTAACATACCGATACTTTCGGAAGTGTAGATGGCCATCTGGCGGTCGAGCATGTTGTAGCGCTCATTGTTATGCGTCTCCCATTCGGGATTGAAATCCTCGCGTTCGTAAATGGGACCAAACTCGCCATTCCACACGGGTACATTATGCTCCTTCATGAACGCCGCCTTGCGATCATACATCTGTCGAATGTATGCATCCTGCTCGGGCTTTTCCTGGTAGCGTCCAATACGGTTTGGGAAGCCAAACCCGCAGTAGTCGTGAATGGCGTAAACCGAGTTCGAGAACACACCGGTAAAGCCAGAAAAGTCCATACTGAATGTGTTACCTTCGAGGAAGAGGATATGTTCGGGATCGATCTCGCGGATGGCAGGCACGATGCGGTCGTAGAATGATAGCAAACGCGTCCACTGCTCGTCGGCAGGCTCATTAAGAGGGTTGAAGCCGGCAACCCAGGGGTTGCTCTTGTAGCGCGCAGCGATAACCTTCCACAAGTTGATGACCCGGTCCTGAAAGTGCTTGTGGTCCCAGAAGGCTGCGTAGCCTGTCGGGTTATCGCAATGCCAGTCTTGATTCTGGCCTCCTGGGGCCGAGTGGAGGTCCAGGATTGTGTAGATGCCGTACTTAGCGCAAAGCTCAATGGCCCTGTCCAAGTGCTTGAAACCTTCCTCTTTAATCACCATGGGGTTCATATCATCTTCGAAATGACGGTAGTTGAAGGACAAGCGAAGGCAGTTGAAGCCAAGCGAAGAGAGGAATTCGGCGTCCTTCTCGGTGAAGAAGTATTCGAGGAACTTGTCGAAGAAGAAGTCGTACTTCTCTTTACCGAGAACCTTGAGGAGAGCAGCGCGGATCTGATTCTCCCGGCCAGGGAAGCCGTTTATAAAGTTCTCCATGAGCATCCAACCACCTAGCGTTGTCTGTGCCATTGATGTTAGCAGGAACTTGATGGAGAGGATCCAGAGCTGGACGTACTCCTCGCAGCAACACGGTGTTGCCATTTCCGTCGACAATGTCCTTGCCGGACGTTCTGAGGATGCCGCAAGACATGCTGAAAGACTGCTTCGGAAGAAAAAAGACGATGATGAGCCAGAGAACGACAGCTTCAGCGAGAACTTCTGCTCTCTAAATACCACGGCCCTCGCCGATCCAATCCGACAGCCAACGCGACTCGCAGCGCGTCTGGCCATAAGAGCCCCGGGACGCCTTGCGCTCCACAAGTATACATCCTGAGGCATCCCTGTGCTCTCCAGGTAAAGATTTCTGATAGGGAGAGTATCTGGGACGTTGGAACTGTGACCCAAGACAACCCCTCGTATTGTCGCTGTCGGGGCAAGTCAAGACGTCCCCCGAACCCCACGCGACCGCCTAGTCGGGTAGCCAAGACACGCTAGGGGCAGGCTTTTAGATGCCCCGACAAGAATTCCTGTGTGCATGGGCTGCTTCGGGGCTTCGTTTTGAATCCCCCGAGCATCTTTGATTGGCTGAGTCCTCTTCAAGGGAAGTCGAGAGGACAATCTCCTCCAGCCCGGGCCCGATCCTTGACTCAGTCGGTGCGGGCGGCGCCCGCCCGGTCTCCCCATTCGCTCCCCGCTATGGACTTCTGGGACAACTTCATCACGTTGTGCTCGTGTGGAGTTTACCCCAGCTTCAGTCTCTTCTCCGCACTCCTTCAGTTCTGAGACTCATTTCCCCGGCAATGGTTCTGTCCTGGGTCCAGTTCCCATGATGGCCTGTCATTGACCTTTAGCCGGAGACCCTCGACCTCAGCCCAACGTTCGGAACTCCAAGCAAGCGTCAGAACCGAGTCTTCTCCTGGCCTTAAAAGGAGAACTCGTCCCGGCTGCCTGGGTCGTCTTGGATCATCAGCCTGCCCTCGACTTCTCTCCTCACCTGCATTGCCAGACACCCTCTCCATACGCACGATGAACGCACTTCGACAGCGTCTGCCCGCTCCCAGGCAGGACCAGGCTGCCCGCCAAGCACGCAAGAATGGCGGTGCTGAAGGCGGAAAGGCTGGGTACGAGCCCTCCCGTATCGCACAGCTCGCCCAAGAGGCCCCCATCTGGTATCGCTCTGCCGCTCGCCGGCGGCTCTACTTCCTGCTGTTCCCTGCGGCCGTTGTCTCGTATGCCACGAGTGGTTACGACGGGTCCATGATGAACTCATTGCAGACCGTGTCTTATTGGGACGACTTCTTCGACAACCCGCGAGGTGCTCAGCTCGGACTCATGAGCGCCATCATGTCCCTCGGCAGCATCTGCTCGACGCCCATCGCGCCTTGGGTCGCCGACAAGTACGGCAGGCGCATGGGTATTACTGTCGGTAGTCTCATCATGATCATTGGTGCGATCCTGCAGTGCGAGAGCCACAACTTTGGGATGTTTGTTGGCAGTAGATTCGTCCTCGGATTCGGGTTGTCTTTTGCCACGACATCAGCGCCCAGTCTCGTCAGCGAGTTGTCGCATCCGAAAGACCGCGTCACGGTGACGGCCATCTGCAATACTTGGTAGGATCAAGCCTTCTAACTGCCGCGAAACATGCGCTGACGCATTTCATTAGCTGGTTCGTTGGCAGCATCGCCGCGGCTTGGATCACCTACGGCACCCGCAATATCCAAAGCACTTGGTCTTGGCGCCTACCCTCTCTCTTGCAAATGGCTCCGAGCATAATCCAGCTTTCGACCATCTGGTTCCTTCCCGAGTCACCGCGCTGGCTAATCTCGAATGATCGTAGCGAAGAGGCCATGGAGGCTCTCAAGCAGTACCATGGCGAAGGCGGCGAAACGGAGCTCGTGCGACTGGAGTTTGAAGAAATCCGTGCTGCGATTGACCACGAAAAGCGTACGTGTCGACGCGCCTCGCAAAACATGCTCACAGAGATTCTTGCTGACAGTCAAGCGTAGGCTCGGGAACAACGACGTGGCCCTCGATGGTCAGAACCAAGGGCAACCGTTATCGCATGTTCCTCGTCGTCTGCATGGGGTTCATGAGCCAGTGGTCCGGCAACGGCCTTGTGGCGTACTGTGAGTGGCTCGTTTCTCGGGCAAAGGCGGCATCGCTGACAGAGACAGACCTGTCGCGCGTCATGGACACGGTCGGCATCACCGATAAAAACACCCAGGCTCTGGTCAACGGACTCATCAACATCTGGAACTTTGGCCTGGCCCTGACGACGGCCTTCTTCGTCGAGCGCATCGGCCGCCGGCCCCTGTTCCGCGCGTCGACGCTCGGCATGCTGACGGTGTTCACGGCCTGGACCATTGCGTCTGCTCTCTTCGACCAGAGCCGGGCCAAGTCGGCCGGCATTGCCGTCATGGCCCTGATCTTTGTCTTTCAGTTCTTCTACTGCATCGCCTTCTCGCCGCTGCCGGTCGCGTACTCGGTGGAGGTCCTGCCGTATTCAATCCGCGCCAAGGGCATGGCCACTTACGTCTTCTCCACCAAGGCGGCCGTCTTCTTTAACCAGTTCATCAAGTGAGTGTCTCGGTCCCGCTTGGCGGCCCGGAGAGATGAATCATCCACTGACGCGTTGCAGCCCTATCGGGTTGGAAAACATCGGCTGGCGCTTCTACCTCGTGTACGTGGCTATCCTGGCTGTCGAGAGTTTCATCGCGTACGGCTGGTTCCTCGAGACCAAGGGCAAGGCTCTGGAGGAGATTGCAGTCATCTTCGACGGAGAGGCGGCTGATGTGCGCATGGACGATGGTCACAAGTTGGAGGGTCTTGTGGATGTTGAGGAAACGGAGAATGTCCACCGCAAGGTATAGATGATGTTGGTGAATAGGTTGCGTACCTAAGTTGAGTACCCGAAAGGAAGATTCGCAAGATACTTCTGACTGTCAAACATCATGGTCATCGCCGGGACTTCCCCAAACGATTGTTCCAAGGGGGGAAGATGCCCTGTGGCGGTGCAGCCCCAGTGGCTGGACCCGCTAAACGCGAACGCAAGCAGTCGTTTCCGCACTGGAAGCGCATTTTGACGGCTGTGCATGAATGAGCCCTGCCTCTGGCTCCAGCGCGACTGGAATCTCGGCTGGAATCTGAGGCCCAGGGACGCAGCAAGCAAACGATCAGCAAGCAACAGAAAAGCGATTCTACTTAACTATGTTTTGGGGTCCATGCTTCGCTCGCTGTCCCTATATGCCTTAGTGTGCACAGATCCCCACGCACAGCGGCCTGGCTGTCTAGCGGCTTGGGTGAAACGATGCGGCATTTCAGATGGCACACTGTCTTCTGTGCCAAAGGGCAACCCCTTGCCCAGAGCAATCGATCATGGCCTACAGCACCAAATTTTGATATACTGGCCTGTCGCGGGTCGAGAACAAAATGTCGGATGCAGTCGGCGACGTCTGGTAGCCCCGCCGGAGCCGCGCTCGCGCAAGACAGAGCTACACTAGAAGAGGCAACTTGTCGTGTGCGGCCCTGCGAGGCTGGCGGTGAGACAGAAGGAAGCGACCGGGGCCGCCATGCTTGCAACCTTCCAGGCCTTCGAAGCACAGCGAGTCGAGGAGGAAAGAGCGATCATCTTCACGTGGGAAGCTACGGCGTGGCCATTGGCGTAGACAGACTTGCCAAGCTCCATCCGGGGGGAAGGCCGGTGCCAACCGAACCAAAGAAATCCCGAGAAAAATTCGTTCACGTACGTGCCAAGTCTGTTTGCGAGAACTAGCCTACCAAGCCTACGTCGGTCAACAACCTACGCAGCCAAGCTTGCCAAGGCAGCGTACCCAAGTGGGGGGGATTTGCCATAAGAGGCAGGCGAGATGCACTCACGACTAAGGCGAGGCAAGCACCGCCAAGCAGGGTCTTTGCCTTTAAGCTGTTCAAACGCCCCCCAATTCGCATCACTGCACTTGCCTTTCTTCCTTCCCTCTATCTCGCTCTCCCTCTTCCACTATTGCCTAGTCATCGGCTCATCTTGTATCACCGACACGCATCCCATTGACCAACACCATCGCCACCTATTCTGAAGTCGCCTCGCCATCAACCCCGCGCCTCTCGCCCTCCATCACCATCCTCCGCCAGGTCTTGCCATCTACCCTGATGGAGTCCGCTCCCCGCTACACTGTCACCGTCTCCGTCGTCCGAGCCTTCTGCCTCGGCCGATTCTCCACAGAATCCCAATAACACAACCTAAAGGTCCAAGTGCACTGAGGAACGAAACAGCACCCTCTCTCCTTTCGCCATGGCGAAATCCAACGAAAAGGGCCCGGACGACGGACACGTGAGCGGCCAGTCGAACCAACCACTAACCCTTCCCGCCCACAGCCTCTCCCTCCAGCAGGTCGTCGACGAGCTGAAGGCCAGCCATGTCGATGGGCTGACCGCTGCCGATGCCGCATCGCGGCTGCAGACCTATGGCAAGAACGAGCTCGGTGAAGCCGAGAGCGTCTCGCCCGTCAAAATCATCATCGCCCAAGTCGCCAACGCCATGACCATGGTCCTGATCCTCGCCATGGCCGTCAGTTACGGCATTGGTTCCTACATCGAAGGCGCCGTCGTCACCTTTGTCATCCTACTCAATGTCATTGTTGGTTTCTTCCAGGAGTACTCCGCTGAAAAGACGATGGACTCTCTTCGGTCTCTGAGCTCCCCCACAGCTCGTGCCATTCGTGATGGCGAATCGGTCGTCCTTCCCTCTGGGGATCTTGTGCCCGGTGATCTCGTTGAACTCAAGGTCGGCGACACGATCCCTGCCGATGTCAGAGTCTTCGAAGCCGTCAATTTTGAAACCGATGAAGCTCTTCTTACCGGCGAATCACTCCCCGTCCGCAAAAGCGAGACTGTCACGTTTCCTGAGAAGACGGGACCTGGTGACCGCCTCAACGTCGCTTACAGCTCGTCCAACGTGACCAAGGGCCGCGCCAAGGGCATTGTCTTCGCCACAGGAGTCTACACGGAAATTGGTGCCATCGCGTCGCAGCTTCGGAAGAAGGAGACTCGGCGTCGCCCCGTCAAGCGCAAGGCCGACGGCTCCGCGAGACCCCATCGCTATCTCGAGGCTTACACGCTGACCCTAACGGATGCCATTGGCCGATTCTTGGGCGTCAACGTCGGCACTCCGCTACAGCAGAAGCTGTCGAAACTCGCCATGTTGCTGTTCGGCATAGCTATTGTTTGTGCCATCATCGTTCTAGCGGCCAATGAATTCTCGTCTGAGCAGGAAGTCATTATCTACGCTGTAGCTACCGGGTTGTCGATGATCCCCGCTAGTTTGGTAGTCGTGCTAACGATCACCATGGCGGCTGGCACAAAGCGTATGGTCAAACGCAACGTCATCGTCAGGAACCTTAAGAGTCTGGAGGCTCTGGGCGCTGTCACTGATATTTGTTCCGACAAGACCGGTACCCTGACGCAGGGCAAGATGGTGGCCCGCGGTGCATGGCTCCCTGGGAAGGGTACATACACCGTGGAGAACTCTACTGCGCCGTTTGATCCTACCGCAGGCGACATTCGGCATCACCCCGAATCACCGCGCCGCATCGACTTCAAATCGGGCGGCGATGCGTGTGGCACTATCGCAAAGGCCGAGGATATGGTAAAGGACAGCCAGAACAGCCTGGGCGACTTTTTGCAAGTCGCATCCCTTGCCAACCTCGCGACCGTCACGCAGAAGGAGGACCGGTGGGATGCCCGCGGCGATCCTACTGAGATTGCGATTCAGGTCTTCAGCACGCGCTTTGGCTGGAACCGCCACGAGCGAACAGCAGGAGAGAAGGCAGAGTGGCAAGATGTTGCCGAGCTGCCATTCGACTCTGACGTCAAGCGCATGTCGGTTGTGATGAAGCACAACGGAACCGGCCAGCTTCATGCCTACACCAAGGGCGCTGTGGAGCGTGTCATCCAAATCTGTACCAAGTATGCGCCGAACGATGACGGACAACTCGTTCCTGTGACGGATGAGTTCCGCGAGGACATCTTGCGCAACATGGAGGTGTTCGCTGGCTTGGGACTTCGCGTGCTGGCTCTGGCTAGCAAGCCTTTTGAATCGACACTGCAAAAGGGCGACGACGTCGACCGGAAGCTCGTTGAATGCGACCTCGTGTTTCGCGGCCTGATCGGTTTGTACGACCCGCCTCGTCCCGAGTCAGCCCCGGCTGTTCGACAATGCCACGAGGCTGGCATCTCGGTGCACATGCTCACAGGCGATCACCCTGAGACGGCCAAGGCCATTGCCATTGAGGTCGGTATCCTGCCCTCGCGGATGGAGCGCATTGCACGGGACGTCGCTGCCGCCATGGTTATGACCGCCTCGCAGTTCGACGGCCTGTCTGATGAAGAAGTCGACAGGCTGCCGGTGTTGCCTCTGGTCGTGGCCAGATGCGCGCCCAGCACCAAGGTCCGCATGATTGAGGCTCTTCACAGGCGCAAGAGATTCGTCGCCATGGTACGTCGGCCTTTGTCCTGTTTCGTATATGATGATTTGTCTCTAACCCGCATTAGACCGGTGACGGTGTCAACGACTCTCCCTCCCTGCGTCGCGCCGACGTAGGCATTGCTATGGGACAATCTGGATCTGATGTTGCCAAGGTAAGCAGAGTGCCCCGCGGTGTGTCTTCGACTTCGTTGCTGACCAAATAGGATGCGTCGGACATTGTCCTGACCGACGACAACTTTGCCTCGATTGTAGCGGCCATCGAAGAGGGCCGCCGTATCTTTGACAACATTCAGAAGTTTATCCTTCACGTTCTTTCGGAAAACGTGGCTCAAGCCGGCACTCTTCTCGTGGGTCTTGCCTTCAAGGATGGTCGTGGCCTGTCCGTTTTCCCCCTGGCTCCTGTACAGATCATCTGGATCATCATGGCCACCTCGGGCATGCCTGACATGGGTCTCGGGTTCGAGCGGGCTGTTCCTGACATTCTCCGTCGGCCGCCGCAGTCGCTCAAGTCTGGTGTTTTCACAGCTGAGTTCCTCGTTGACATGGTCGTGTATGGCCTGTGGATCACGGCGCTTTGTCTCGCGAGTTTCTCCCTCGTTGTCTTTGGCTTCGGGAACGGCGATCTTGGTGAATTCTGCAACGAAGATTATAGCGAGCGTTGTGACGTTGTGTTCCGTGCACGCGCAACGACGTTCGCTTGCTTGACTTGGTTTGCGCTGTTTCTGGCGTGGGAAATGATCGATATGCGTCGGTCATTCTTCCGCATGCAGCCTGGATCGAAGAAGTACTTCACGCAGTGGATGCTTGACGTGTGGCGGAACCAGTTCTTGTTCTGGGCCATTATCTTGGGCTTCGTTACGCTGTTCCCCCTGCTTTACATTCCCAAGCTGAACACGGTCATTTTCAAGCACTCGCCCATCTCCTGGGAATGGGGCATTGTGTTCATCGCCGCAGGGCTCTTCTTCGCCGGCGTCGAAACGTGGAAGTGGGGCAAGCGCGTGTACTTCCGCCGGCAGGACCGTAAGCGCCTCGGCCCGGCGTTCAAGGACATGGACATTGAGCAGCGGGTGTTTGGCGAGTTCCTCGGTTCGGAGACGGACGAGGAGGCTGCCCAGGGAGGAAAGGCGCAGTAAGCGTATGGAAGCTGACGGACCACCAGACTGTCCTGTCTGTCGGCTGAAAAGTAAAATAGGTGTTTGAGAGGCAGACGCAAGGTTTCAACACGAAGCGTCCTGTCGTGGTGGGTTGTGCACTTGTTGCATTTGTTTTGATTTCACAGATATAAAATCCAAAAAGAATTGTGCGATTTAAACAACTGAGACATGGCGTGAGTCAATGTTCTTCCACGTGGAGGTGAGTGGTTGAAAGCATATCTCGACGGCTCTTGGATGGAGAAGTATCATTGGGAATAATGACAAACTGGAAAGTAGCAAGAACGACAACACGCAAGAGGCATAGGTCGCCTACCAAATTCAACCAAAACGTGTACAAAAGCCGAGTCATCACGATTCGTCCACCTGGATGTACGCCAACAGTCCATCGAGCACATCATGGCGCGTGCCCGTGTAGCGCACCTCGGCCTCGGTCCAGTTGATGACGCTCCACACGGCGTCGACGTACGCGGCCCGCGCGTTCTTGTACTGCAGGTAATACGCGTGCTCCCAGACGTCGACGCCGACGATGGGGGTCTCGCCGGGCCCGTTGGCGACGAGATCCTGGTCGCGCGCCGTCACGATGCGCAGAACGCTGCCGCCGCCGCCGCCGACGTCCTGCTTGACGAGCCAGCCCCAGCCGCTGCCCTGGACGCCGACGAGGGCGCGCGAAAAGGCGTCGAGCATGGCGTCGAAGGAGCCCCAGGTGGCGACGACGGCGGCGGCGAGGCGCGGGGCGGCGGCCTCGGGGTGCTGGGCGTCGGGGCTCGTGGCCGGGGCGAGGTTGCGCCAGAAGAGGCTGTGGTTGATGTGGCCGCCGGCGTTGAAGCGCAGGGCCGGGTGCAGGGCGAGCTGGTCGGCGAGGGAGGCGGCGGCGGCGGCGTCGTCGTGCTTGGCGAGGGCAGCGTTGAGGTTCGTGACGTAGGCCTGGTGGTGCTTGGTGTGGTGGAGGGTCATGATCTCGGCCGAGATGGCGGGCTCGAGAGCGTCGTAGGCGTAGGGCAGCGGCGGCAGGGTGTAGCGCGGGGTGGCCAGCTTGGGCGGGTTGGGGTTTTGCTAAGAGGGGTGAGCGAGTGATGGCGAGCAAAGTGATTGCGAGCAAGTGACTGTGAGCAAGTGACTGTGAAGCCCTCGCCTCGTGAGAAGGGCAATGAAGGCGAGTGAGCTGTTGGAACAGAGTAAGAACTCACCATCTCGGCGTACTGCACCTGCCCCCCGTCGGCCACATACGTCGTCCCGGCAGCAGGAGCACCGGGCGACAGCGAGGAAGCAACGTCTGACATGGCTCCTTACAAGTGGTGAGTTTCAGCCACGTCAACACTGTCGGGCAACAATCCTCCACACACGACAAGGAGATTACTTGGCAAGACCGGCAATGTCAAGTCCGTCGTGTCTGGTCAAGAGGGACGGCGATGAATTGATGGTGGGGGGTGGGGGGCGTTGTCGCCGAGAGGCTTCGGCGCGGGGAACGGTGAAGAGACCGTGGCCTACTTCCTGTGGCTGTCGTGGCTGGTGTCTGCGACCGGCACCTGATTATGTGCCCTGTCCAACCGCCGGGTAGCTCACCTGACGACGAGCCTCGGTGCATCTGCCGGCAGCACGGAGGAGGCGTCGCGGGCCATCAGACAGAGCATGGAGTTCCGTGGCATCCGAACCCTGGACCAGACACGATCACGCCATCGCGCCAACGCACTACACCTCGTCAGATTCGACCGGCCGTTCAACTGAATCTTCCACTCTATCCCGACCTTCGTCTTCTTCCTTTTGCATGTTTTGTTACACGGCGTGGCATGTGTGGCCTAGGCCAAGTTGTATCATGTGTTCATATTCATACTGACTGGCAGCATTGTGTTCATAAGTATATCATGCTTTTCTGCTTTTCTCCTCCTCCCTTTTGTTCACTCAAGAAAAGCCACTCCCCGCTGACGACGTCACAGACCTCAAGCAAGGTATCCACCGATAAACGGCGTCAGGTAATCCATCTTGCCAATGACGACGCCCTCCTTGCGCAGGATCGAGTAGAGAATGGCCGTGTGGAAGAAGATGTTGGGCACGACGTAGCCGGAAACGTACTCCTTGGCCTTGAGCTCGGCCGACTTGCCGGGCCCCATGCCAAAGGTGACGGTGGCGTCGGTGCGCTCCTCAAACGTGGCGCGGTCGGCGCCCTCGAGGGCGGTGACGGCGGCGTCGAGGCGGGCGCGCACGTCGGCGAGCGTCTTGAGGCCCTCGGGCCACGACGTCGGCGCGGGCTCGACGTTGTGCAGGCGCGCGACGAGCTTCTGGGCCGTGTCGGTGACCATGTGCACCTGGAAGGTCAGGGGCAGCATGTCCGGGGCGAGGCGGGCGTCGAGGAGCTGGTCGATGGGCGTCGACGTGGCTGTCGCGTGCGCCTCGGCCTTGAGGATGAGGGCCTGGCAGGCGCGGACGGCGGCCAGGGTTTGCGTGACGCTGCCGTCGTAGAGTGTGTACGACATGGTTGCTTGTCGTGTGTGTTGGGGGTTGAGGTGGGTGGTTGGGTGGTGGACTGTCGTCAAAAGGATGGATTGTGCTGGCGGGCGGGAGGTCGAGAGTGTGTGCTGGCTAACTTGAGAAAGTCAGGGCCAGGTAGGAGCAGGACTTCCCTCTCTTATGCCCCTCGCTTCCAACTCGCGCCAGCAAAGCGGTGAGCCCCTCCCCTTCCGTCCCATTTCTTCGCCTCGCCTCGCCTTGCCTCGCATCCTCGACACTTACCCCTCCACCCTGTCCTGCCTTCTATCCACCTCGCACTTGACTAATGTATGGGCAGGAATCCGTCAGAGGCAAGAGACACGGAACGAGGCAGGAGGCACGAAGCAGGAGGCACGAATGAGGATCCCCCTTCCCCGCAGGGCCCATCGCTCTTGCTCCATCGTAACGTTCCCGCTCGGCCGCTCCCCGATCCATCGAGAAGGGGGAAAAAAAGAGACGACGAGACAACGAGGTGTCACCGCTGACAAATGCCCCTTCTGACAAATGGTCCCCGCCCCGCCCGACGCACCTCGTAAGGAAGTAGGTACGTAGTACGTAGTACCAAGGTGTCGACCGTGACCTGCCGCTGGGCGAAGACAGGCCTCAGCTGCTGCCTTTTCGCCTACCTACCTGCGTCGAAACGAAGAGGACGTGCATATCGTGTGCAGTCCAAACGTACAGCATGGCATTGGCGAGCCTTTGCATCGTCTTCGTCATCGTTGTCGTCGCCGTCGAACTTCTCCCGTCTGACGTTTTGGGGAACGAACGCATGATGGCCCAGACAATCAATGGTGGGGTTGGAGCGACAGGGACATGCTCCTGAAGGTGGGCAGGGGACCACAGAGCAGAGAGCAGAGAGCAGAGAGCAGAGAGCACAGAGGCTGCTGGAATCTTCTCTTTGCACGTCGCAGCGCGTACCCGCCTACATCTCCACCGACGAGAGCGGGCCAAGCTGTGTCAGACGAGGGGTTTTTCATGCGGGAAGAGGATGCGGGACGTTGCGATGCCGCTTGTCTAGGAAGATTGCCCAGGCACGACGGGCATGGCACGACCCTGAAAACGTGAGAAACGGATTCAAAGATTGGGCCTCAATTGGTAAGCACTGAACAGACCCCCTCTGCACTATACTCTCTCAACAAGCGCAATGAGGCGTCGTCATACACCTTATGGCATGCCTCACAGCAAACATCACAAACCAAGGCGCACAGCATCAGTAGCAGCAGTAGCAGCAGTAGCAGCAACACCAGGCCATCATATTCTCGCTACCCAAAACCGGACGACAGGCCTCTCCTGGCCGATGCTCCCCGTCGTCAAAGTGCAACGCCGCCCTCCCAGGTTTCCTTTCCATTCGCGCATAGCTCGTAGCTTGTGGCTCGTAGCCCGTATAGACAGACGCCAGCGCCCCTGGCGAACAAACAATCGAGAATGCTAAAGTTGAAGAAGAAAAAAGTGCCCGTTTGCCCACGTACCAAATGGTATCATACCTAGTCGTACAAGAAAACAGTTCGGGGCATACGATGATGCCTCACGTCTCGCGACCCCGTCGCATGCGCATCACCTCTCCTCGAAGATCGCGGTTCTCCGACTCGAGACCGCCGAGCCGCTGCCGTGCCGCTGTACGATCGAGGTTGCGTCCTTCGCGCTCCGCCTTGAGCTTCGTCTCGAGGTCTCGCAGCCGCAGCATCCACGTCTTGTCCTCGGCAACGCCGCTTCCGCCGTGGCCCCGCTCTGCGAGCGCCGTCTCGTACGGGTTCGTCTCCGCGCCGAGCGACACGCCACCGCCGCCCCGTGAGCTGCCGCCGCGCGAGCTGCTGGTCCGCGTCAGCGTCGACGACCGCTCGCTGTCGCGCCCCTTGCGGCTCTTCTTCTCGCGGTCTCGCGGGCCCGTGGGGATCGAAGGCGACGGGCTGCCGACGCCTTCCTCGCCCGCCGCCGAGTACGCTGCCCTCGATCGCACGTTGCTCGCTGTCCGCAGCGTCGCGTTCTCAATCTTGAGCTGCCGGTACGCCTCCTCCATGCGCACCATGCGTGAGTGTTCGCTCGAGTTGAGCGTGCCCGAGGCCACGCCGTTGCGCACAATCGACTCGAGCCGGTCCAGCTTCTTCGTCTTGGTATCGAGGTCGCCCTCGAGTGCCTGGTAATCCTTCCAGAGATCGCGCTCCATGTTCTTGATGCGCGACTGGAAACCTCCGACCATTGTCTCCATCGTCTTGACCGCGGCGAGCAGGTTCTTTGTGAACCCAGGCAGCATCGTCGCCACCGATTCGAGGGACGGTAGCGCCCGTCCGTTGATGAGGCTGTTGTTGTGCGCCCAGTCGGTGCCGCACAGCGACGAAAGCCGCGTCCACAGCACCAGCAGCAGGTTGTTGCGTTCCGTCAGCTGCTCCCTGAACGCCGCCTCGAGCTGCGTCATCTTCTTCTTGTCCATCGCCCGTCCTGCCTCGAGCTCTGTGATGCGTGAGTCTTGCGACGACACCGTCCTCGACACGTGGCTGTGTGTCTTCTGGAACGTCTCAAACTGGTTGCGTGTCGTGCGGTGGCCCTGCTGCTCCTTGTGCAGTAGCTCAGACAGCTTGCGCAGCTCCAAGCCGTGTGACTCGAGCAGTGCGTCCCGCTGCTTGATGATGCGGTCCTTCTCTACGAGTGACGCCTTCGTCGTGTCGAGCTCGCGCACCGTATTCTCCAGTTGCCGCTGAAGGCTCGTGATGTTCTGTTTTGGTCAGCAGGGATCTTGACAGCGGCAGTTGCATGACATACCTTGAGCAGGCTGGAGCGTGTGCCGTTGAGGTCGCCGAGCGCCTCGCGCAGGTTGTTCTCCAGCTCCATGAGCCGCTCCTTCCACTCGGTAGCCTCAACCTCACGCGAGTTGAGGTTCTTACGCAGCCGTCGCGCCTCGTCCTTGGCCGTCGACATCTCGCGGTTGAGCTCGTTGACAAACTGCTGCACCTCCTCCTTCTCCTGATTCGCCACCATCTCGCGTTGCCGCCGCTCCTCCTTGAGCCGCTGGTCGAGTTCACGGACGCGCTCGCGCTCCTCCTCGAGCATCGACTCGGCGTTCTCAATGGCCGCCTCGAGGTCGCCAATCTTGATCTTGTCGCCTTCCTGCTCCTCGCGGAGGAAGGCAATCTCGCTTTGGCTTGACTCTGCCTGAACGCCGAGCCGTTGCACCTTGTCGTTGGCCTCACGCAGCTTCGTTTCCAGATCCTCCGACTCCTTGTTAGCGTCCTGAAGGTCTTGTTCAAGCTGCTGGATGCGCTGGAACTTGTTCTCGTGCTCGTCCTCGAGCCGGACGATCGCCTCGCTCATATCCCGCATCTCTTTCTGGAGAGCCTCAAAGTTCTCAGACCGAATGCTGAGGTCCAACTGCAGTCGCTGCATCTCCTCTCCTTTTTGATCGGCTTCGTTCTCGAGCGCGTCAATTTCTTCTTGGGCTTCTTTCCGGAGTGCCTCAAACTCGGCTTCCATGTCCGCTTGTTCTCGGAGGGCTTCATCGCGCTCGGCCTGCAGTGCAACAAGATCGGCCATAGCTGTTTCTAGATCTTCTTGCAGAGCTGTTGCAGCCTCTTCGGCTTGCTGTTTGGCGTCAACTGCCGTTTCAAAGTCTTCCATGCAGCCGTCGAGCTCCCTCTGCAGTTCCTGGTTGTGCAATTTGACCTCGTTAATTCGATCACGAGCTTCCGAGAGGTCGTTTTCGAGCTGCTCCCTCTCGGCTTCGTCGGCTTCGGTGATTTGCGTCCTTGAAATGCTAGTGCGTGACATGGACCGATGATGGCCGCCGGCCCGGGACGCTGACCGCTCAAGCAAGCTGTCAACTGCTGAGAGGGCGGGTCCGCCGCGGCGTTGGGCGATTTTGAGGTCCTCGATTTCTTGGTACAAACGCTCCTTCTCGCGATTCCTGGACGTGAGCATGGATGTCTGGGCGCCAACTTCGCGCCGCAATTCGGCATTTTCGTGTCGCAGCTGCTCGCTCTCACGACGCAACTCCTCAACCAATGTTGGCGCCGTGCTGCTGAACCCACCATTGGTGTTCGAGTCCAAATCGCCCGAGAGACCGGATATCGGGCGACTCGGGGATACCTGTCGGTTCTTCTTCGTAATATTGTAGATGTTTGTCGTGTGATGCAGACCGCCACCACTCCCTCCATGAGAAGAAGTCATCTCCTGCTTCAGGCGGAAGATTTCATCACGCATACGTTTGTTGTCCTCGTCGGCCTGCTCGCGCCGGGCGGTCTCCTGCTCCAGCAAGTCCTTCCAGACATCAGCCTCCTCCTGTCGACCGAGATTCTCGCCAGTGCGTTCCCCGAGCGACTTGACCACCTCAGTCAACTTGCGCTTCTCCGCCTCTTTAGACATGCTGTCATTTTTGAGTCGCTCAATCTCCGTGACGTACTCCTCAACGCGCTCTCGCAAGTAGATGAGCTCCTCTTCACGTTCGTTCGCCTCGTGGTCAAAAAAGTGGGCAGTCTGGTCATTGGATGATGCGCCGCTCCGTGCCGTACTCGGACGGTCTTCGTCTTCCTTGAGCTTCTTCTCTAGCTCTCTGACGCGTCTCCGAAGCGCTTTATTGTCCCGCGTGACGACGGCAAGACTCGTCTTGAGCTCGACGTTCTCGGAGATCATCTCCTTAACACCCTCTTCGGAAAGCTTATCAAGACGGTCGCTGAGAAACATGACCTTGAGCTTGAGATCAAAGTTCTCCTTGGACAGACGTTCAATGGTACTGCTCTGTTCCTTGAGCGTCAGGTTCTTCCCTGAGCGGCCGGAACCCACGAGCGTCATGTCGGAGGGTTTTCGTGGCGTTGTGAGTCCGCTTTTACTTCGGTACTCCTTGGCCAGGGACTCAGGCACATGGACGTTCCTAACGTGACGTGCGATCACTGTGTCGGTCGGCGCCGAAAGATTTTCCTTGGAAGGCTTTGGCGTCTTCATGAGGTCCTCATTCAGGGGCCTATTGTGTGGGGATCGCTCGACCTCCTCCAGCGTCTCCAAAGGCGTCGCGCCAGGCTCCGGAGTATCATCTATGCCCATGCCCGAGACCATGCTTCCCATGCTCACGGTGCGCGAGAGTATGTTGCTCATGGTACGAGACATGATGGGCCCAGTAGCACCGCCCGACTGTAGAGCATAGTCAATTTCGAGCCCCGCCGTGCCTTCGCTGTCGAGATCGTCGTGGGACTCGGGGTTCGTGACGAATGAGGATGTCGAGGAACGCTGGCTTGTGCCGCGGCTGCGAAGGTACTTGGGCCGCTTACCGTATCGAAGTGCATGCCCCGGGGTACTGCCGACATCTACGGAGCCCCTATCCGTGCTCTGGTCGCCTGAGGCGTCAGACTGCGACATGGAAAAGTCAGCGCCGGACTGGTCATCGTCGGTCGCTTCACCGCTGTGGGCGAGGTTGGCAGAAGTCTGGCGTCGAGGGTCATTACTGAGGCTCGAGAGTGCGCGGGACACGGTCCGCCGGGCTGCTGCGGCTGTCGGGGAGGAAGAGAGTGTTTCGAGTGAAGAGGTCGTGTTGCTGACATCGGCAGTGTGGACACTGTTGGGTCGCAATTGAGGCAGTTCGTTATCGGGCCGGCCGCTGTCGGTGTGAGCTCTTGGGGCGAAGGGTCGATTTGTTGGTGATTTGGTTCGGCCGGAAGAGGCACCATCAAACAGATAAGTGTCGTCGGCGCCTGTGGTTGTCACAGTCGGGAGAGGCGACAGGCGCGACATGAAGCTTGACTCGACATCCTGAAGATGGGCTCGGACGGCAGTTTCGGCATGATCGTCGCCGTGGCGGGTGTCGTCAAAGGTCGCACCCTCAACAAAGCTGACCTCAGGGGCATTGTTTGCGGGCGGCAGCGAGGGGTAGTCGTTTCGTCGGAGGGGTGTCACATTGCCTGACCGCCCAGGAATATCATCGTCTGTCTTATCGTTCCCCCCTTTTACTGGCGATACGGTCGAGTCGTCGAAATCAGCGGGGCCGAGGAATGAGGAGGAACCACCGACGCGGTGGGCTGTCGAGGGGCGCGACTCGGAGTCGCGACTCGCAGGTCTAGAGTTTTCGTTGGCGTCCATCGAGGCCTCCAGCGGTGATGGTCGTCGTCGAGTGAGTGATGGCTGTGGATGGAATGCATTCGGCCGTGGCCTGGCCTGGTCTTGGGCGCGCAGAGTTTGCCGTGATGTGTGTGTCGGTATGTATGGTGTTGCGGACACCAAAGAAAGAAGCTGACCAGGTTGCAACTGCTGTGACTTGGGGCTACCAGGGGGGCAGCGTCGACGTGGACGATGCGCGGGATGCAACCTCAAGCCCACCTTCGTAGGTACAATGACGCGCTCGGTCCTCCCCAATGCGCTGAGATGGAAGGAGCTGACCCCTGGCCTTCAGTGGATGACAGCACATGACAGCGCCTAGGCGCTGAAGTTCCAGTGCCCCTACAGCGGGCAGCCTAGTACCTCGTGGCTCTTCGACCCCTGACGTTGCTATGACAGCAAGCGCGATGGGTGGCCGCGACACACTCTCATTGGGCGGGCGGGCAGGTCGCCGCTTCCGGCGGGGGTCCGGCTGCGGGGCAGGTACTGCGACCAGACCAAGCTGGGAGGAAAGAAGGAAGGGCACATTGCTTTTGCTGCCTCAGACTCTGCACTGAATGCCCAGTCTGCTTCGGGCCCTTAACTGTGTCAAAGAATTGACCATCAGGCATAATAAGGGACCTAGGTAACTTAAGGCATGGCATGTAGGTATGGGCGAGTGTATGTAGCTCATCAACCACACAGTCCAGGTATGGAAATCATCTGCTGCCAAGTAGGCCCTCATGGGCTTACACAATCAGATGTTGACGTGCCCACCGTTTCCGTCTATCCATACAGCTCCAGTGTGTGCCAGGCAGGCCATTATCCGAGCGCTGTTCGCTCTCACACGGCCCACTTTCATATGCTTAGCCAAGCACCTTGTCAGCCATCGAGACAGCCGTGCCCGTGTTGTCAGGCTCAACGTGAGCCGACTTGACCGTGCCGTTCTCAACGACCAGCGCGTAACGTTTGCTGCGGATGCCGCCGAAGATGGCCGAGCCATCCCAGCCAAGGTCCAACGCCTTGGTGAACTCGGCCGTCGGGTCGCCGAGGAATCGAATCTGGACTCGTCAGCTCTGCGTCCTTTCTATTGACCAAAATGCAGATAGATCTCTGCGAAGGGGAAACTCACTCCCGTCTGCTGTGCCGGGTCCATCTGGTCGGCCCACGCCTTCATGCTTCTCGAGGTCAGCTGCAAATCATTCCGTTTCGCGGCAGAGAGAGGAAGCACCCACACAAAGGGGTCGTTGACCGAGACGACGAACACCGAGCCCGCTTCCTTGAGCTTGGGGTGGTTGATGTACGAGGGCACATGGCTCGCCGAGCAAGTGCCCGAGAAGGCAGCGGGCACGCCAATGATCAGGCCATTAGCCGACTTGAACTCGTCGGCGAGGTTGACCTTGTTGGCGGGCGAGTCCTCGACAAGAACATTGAGGTCGGGAATCTCATCGCCCACACGGACGAAGGCCCGGGGGGTCGAGTGAAATGCACGCGCCGCGACGGCGGGGCGGGCAAAGGCGGCTCTTCTAGTGACAGCACGGAAAGCCATTTCTTCTGATTGGTAGTGAACCGAGCTATCGCTAAATGATGAGTCGTTATTTGATGGGGGATGAAGGTAATTGAGGAGGGGTTTGATGTTGATGAGGCTCTGACGACGTCTGAGGCAACGAGGAGCTTGGAGCTTGAGCTTGAGCCACGTCGCTTAGCTAGTGCCAATGATTGACGTGATTCATGACATCACCTGTCGACCAGCTGTGACCAGTTGCCTGTCGCTCACCTTTCTGAAACCTGCGGCCAAGCTGGCCGATTCACAGTGTTTGACCTCATATTTGGTAGCCATCGCGAGATACGGCTTTGAAAAATGCATTATTTGTTCAATAACACGTCCTCCAATGTGTGGACCTTCGCTACCTCAGATCAAATGTGACGCCCACTGTGGCAGGCTCATCGGATCACACGCATGGTATGAAGCTCGTTTAATGGATGGAGAGCTTGTGCTTCAAAAGTCGCATGATAGTGAAAGCTATAAAAGCTCTTCAACTTCAGATTGCACAATCTCCCTACGTATCTCGAATTGTAAACAAGACAGCTCTCCTGCTGAAGGAAACGAAAACTCCGCGAAGACGGAAGCCCTGTCCTAGGCACGCGGGGGGCCACCCGACTACCAAATGTCGATGGCGTTGTGGTATTTAAGGGCACCAAACGATCAACCTCTGCTCGGTGTGCCTTCATGATAAACAGGCTTGGTAGACTGTCGCGGTGCGCTTCTTGAAATGCGCACCGGCGGTCAACTGGACTGGTCAGAATCTTCATCGCTCGCGAGCATTGAGAATGTAATCTGAGTGACCTAGGCAGCTCGACAACAGCTAGGTGGTCATAAAAATAAGCTTCACCGACACCTCGCAGCCTTGGGCTGATCGCGACGAGAATCGAGTGCCCTCATTGCAAAAGTCTCCAGGCGATCACTCACCGACCACCCACGATCGCTGGCACGGGATCAGCCTGGTGAACCCCGGCAGTCGGCCCGTCGCGGTTCGTTTCAGTGCCAAGAATGCTCTCTGGACCCTGAAAAAGGAATGTCCTTACTGACGCTTTACGCTGGATGCCCGCGTTTGAAGAGTCGGACGATGACCTCGACCGTCGAGGCTTGAACCTCTCGGCCACAAGGGGGCAGGCAACTCCTTGTCGTCATCTTTGAAGCAGGCTGCTTCATTTGACGGTCACATGATCTTGTCAAGTGCAACGGCGCCTGACGCGGTGTTTCGCAGATGTGCAAGATTATCACGAGGAGCTGTCTCATCTCGGCGAGCCTCTCTAATCGACGATGAATCGTGGAAGCCCCGCCGAGTGCCCCGGTCGTGCTCGATTCTGTAGGTCGACTAACCCAACCAAGCGACGTTTCGTTCACACTGGAATTCATGAGCAACGCCTTTCCTGCCAGCCCACTGTCAAGTGTGCCACGAACATGTGCGCCCGGAATCTGAGCTCAGCCACCCTCGCCGCTGCAGCCAATCTCGGGTAATGCCCTGCACCGCTCGACTCAAATGTTTCAAGTCGACGTTTTAGGAGAGGCGCCAACCAACAAGAAAGGGAGCGCCCTTGGTCGCCCAAATCGGGCGACGGTGTCAATAGGCACAAAGCGCACAGATCGCGTTGGTGGAGTCGATCATCAGAGCGCGAGCCACGACCGTGTATTGAAATTTTGGATGCACAGGGAGCGTCGTTGTGGCGAGTAGTGACACGACGATCTTGCAAGCCAGTTTGGTGCCATTCAGCCAACAGTAAGATAGATCGATAACTGTGAACGGAATGATACCGATGCCAGGTGTCCAGCATTCGGCAAAAAGGTGCTGCAGTGAAAAGGGTATTGAATGAGCATCCCCACAAAGCTGCGGGGCCGACTAACTGGGGCCGAGCAGTCCGTCTGCCGAGACGTGAGCTGCAGGTACGAAAAGTTCGTCTGTCATACACCCCCACCGACGGCGTCCTTGAACGTGCAGCTGGCAGGCACGAACCCGCGACTTGGCTTGAACTGTGGCGATTCAGCCGTGATGAAGGCACGTCCACAAGTCGGGCGCTTGGCATCGAGCTGGCAATTGAGGTGGGTGTTAGATGCTCACGATCATTGCCATGGGCAAGGCCTGAGCCATCCGAGGTGTTGCTCCCTGGAGCTGGAATATGTAGCCCAAGCTAGGGATCCCGCTCTCTCGGTGCTCGGTGATGCGGCTGCAAAGGCCTCCGCGCCCGAGAAGCTGACGAATCGTGTTTGGCGCTGTTTACAACGATGGCTGATGATCGCCAATCGGCCGCCCCGAGGGACGTTAACACCAAAGGGGTTGGAGAGGCGATGTCTGAAAGAGCCGTCGCCGTGGCTAGCGCAAACATTTATCCAATGGGCGCCTGAATGAGGAACATTACCGAAGCTTCAATATCGTCGACGGTCGTCTACTAGAGCAAGCCTCAAGCGAGTTTGAGGTGGCGGAATAGAGACCGCGCTGATTATGGCAGACCCGATAACGTGGTGCGAGAGGCCACCCTTGCAGGGCTGACTGATCTCATCACTCTGGCTGCTGAGTGTGATGCTCTGTGTGATGAGAGCCACCGAGGTTTCCATGACTCTTGCATCGGTTCAATGGTTCGGACAAGGATCGAGCTCCGCGACGAGAGTTTCGGGAAGGCGTCCTCTCCCAGTATTCTCCCAGTTGAGCCATGACAGAACGTGGCATGGCAAAAGAGAGCTTGCGGACGTGTCGGCGCTCTTGTTCTGATTGAACCGACCCCATCCGATCAGGTCATCTTTTGTGACCGCGGCTGAGGGGGGTGACAACTAATACGTGACTGACATGGATATTAGGCACAGACGCGGACTGGCTCCAGTGCTCCGCCTGCCCAGAGAAGAGATCAAAGAAACAGGTTCTCAGAATGCTTGGAGGAGATCCTAGCGTTGTTGGCTTTGGCAACAGGGGTCCGACCTCACATACCGACAGGTGTAGTATGTCAGCTTGAGGAATATCGTCGAGATGAGGTAGCAGTAGCAGCCGCGGAAGCAGGTTACACACAATCCATCATCACAAGGGCGAAGTCGTAAGACGATAGCAGAGCCTGATGATGCTTGTCTGTTTCAAGCCCGTCAGCCGTCATGCGCGGCTGGTGTGCATGAAAAGGTTCTATGCAAGGTATGGTCCCATCACACTGGGGACTGTGCGATGCAGTCAGCGACTAGATGGAGCCTAACAGTGGTCGAATGAAGCTCCTCGAGTCTCAAGTTTTTGCCGTCTGGATGGAACCACTGTGCGACTCATGGACTGGCCGGACACGCAAAACATGTCGGCGGCGACCCCTTCGATACGCACTGTTATCGGATTCGGTGACGACCTAAAGACAGCACGACACAGACACACACACACACACCTGGACCAGTGGCACCTTGAAGACAAGCGGAAGGCTGGTGGTGTGAGGGGTCAGATACGGTGGTGCTACTCTCAGGTACGTGGCCTGGGAGGTGTGGTGCACTGTCGACCACTCAAGGCGCGTGACGATCCCCCCTCTTGGAATCTCACACGGCATGTGTCGACCCCCTGCAGCGTCCTCAAACATATATTCGTGGTGTCTGGTTATCCAGCTTGATTCGCCGTGACCAGTCTGTCGTCAGTAACCCGTGCTCGGTCAAGGGTTCGGACAAAGACGGCTGAGGACCCAAACAGCAACAGACACAAATGGACAAGGTGTGCATGGATGATGGCCCGAACTGCTACGATGGATGGCGACAAGTGTTTGCTGGAAGAGGGTAAAGGACCAAGACAGGGAACAGGTCAAGGACCAGAGTCGGGCCAGAGACACGAGAGACAAGGTGAGTGGAGACGAAGGGAGCAAGGACCTGTCCAGTTCAGGTACAGAGCCCGCACAGGCCAGGCACCAAAGAGGTTTAGCCAGTCAGAGCAGCTGCTCAACCCCCAGTCCCCACCCTTTTAAACCGTTCAGGGTGCAACGCCCCTCTAATCCCAAATTGTGCAACAGCGGACCTGCCCATCCCCCCTCCTAGCCCCTGCCTCATGCTGCCCAAGCCGTCCGTCGCCAGGCGGTACTTGCCATTCATCTGGCGCTGGCAGGGAAAGGGCGAGTCCCTTACATGTATCTTTTGTGCTCTAGGCTCCGTGCACTGTACCTTCCTCTCGGCGCTGCACCTGCCTGCATCTGCTTGTGCCTGCGGAATCCCCCCCTCACTACCTATGCATCTGATGGTCTCCTCCCCTTTCCTCCTATCCACCGCTCATCCACTACCACACACCCGCCATCATCTCGCGCCTGTAGTCCCTCCTCTTCCTCCACCAGCGGCCTGTGACCGTGACCTTATCCATCTTTCACCTTTCCGTGTACGCACTTTATGACCCTGGTCCGCCCATCGTCTGCTGCACAGCACCACCTGCAAGCCCCCCCTCTCTTCCTTCTTGCACTTCTTGCCCTCACGCCGACCTACGCTGTCAAGGTTCCCCTCCTTGATAGCCATAATTCCTCATCCGACCACCCACTCCCATATCCCAATCTTGTCTCCGTTCCAGAGACGACACGATATTCAGCCATATCAAGCCGCACTCTGGAATTGCATGCTCGACGCTTCATTCGACTGCACGAACACAGCCTGGACACTTTGTCGCCAATTCCCCGCTGCCAAACACGACAGGCTATCCGCGTTGGCAGAGCACAGTCACTTGTCCTCAAACCTTTAGCAAACACCCCGACCATAGCCCTCAAGGCTCGCAGTCGACGACCCAGTCTCGCTGAATTTCCGATTTCTAATCGAAAGAAGCCGACCGGTATCCCGTTGGAATCGGCCATCGACGCCCCTGCGGCCTGATTGTGCGACCAGCCTCCTGCTGTCCAGAACCGAGACAGTTGCCCGAAAACTCAAAATCGTTGCCGGACGACCGCGACCTCAGCGTGCGACTTCTGCTTCTCCGCCAGCCCGTTCTCACCTCTTATCTGCCGTTGCATCGCGAGCTTCCTTCGGTGCCAGCCTTCCCTTGGCCCCGACGACGACTCGAGCGCCGTGACGTCCTAGGGGCTCTATCGGGCGCGCCAGCCTGATTCCCCATTGCGCCGCCTCGACCATACGCGACCTCTTGCCATCATGTCCGTGATGCTGCAAGCTCCCTCCCGCGCATCGACTGCCTCTTCGTCTTCCTTCCAGCCTCTCTCCCGACAAAACACCATGTCTTCCTATGATGGCTCGCGGTCCGCCCGCCAGTCCAAGCGGTATTCCATGTCCGCGCTGTACATGTCCATGTCAGCGAACGATGGCGAGCTTGAAATTGAGGATGACCTAGCAAAGGGTGCGTGCTCGGTCTTCTTCTACTCACATGTTATGCCGGTGCACTGCTAACGCTACCCAGCCCAGAAGATACTGCGGGAGCTCAAGTCCAAGATCTCTTCCCAGTCCAAGAAGAACTTTGTGCTCGAGAAAGATGTGCGCTATCTCGACTCGCGTATCGCACTGCTTATTCAGAACCGCATGGCACTCGAGGAGCAAAATGAGGTCGCTAGCCACCTCGAGGATGCCACCGATATGCAAGAGGGTGCCTTTCCCAATGACGACAAGACGCAAAAGTACGGGAACCTCATGTTTCTTCTACAGTCCGAGCCTCGACACATCGCGCACCTCTGCCGGCTCGTCTCCATGTCTGAGATCGATTCGCTGCTACAGACCGTCATGTTCACCATTTACGGAAACCAGTATGAGAGCCGAGAAGAACATCTCCTCCTGACCATGTTCCAGGTATGTACTCGATTCTAGCTCGTTGAATATATCGTGTCTAATCAACGACAGTCCGTTCTCACCTACCAATTCGATAACACGCCCGAATACTCGTCGCTATTGCGTGCCAACACGCCCGTCTCCCGCATGATGACGACGTATACCCGCCGAGGTCCTGGCCAGAGCTTCCTGAAGACTGTCTTGGCGGACAGAATCAACAACTTGATCGAACTCAAGGAGCTTGACCTGGAAATTAACCCCCTTAAGGTTTACGAACGCATGATTGAGCAAATTGAGGAGGATACTGGTAGCTTGCCGCCTTCACTACCCAAGGGCATTACGGGCGAGCAAGCCGCCGAGAACCCACAAGTCCAAGCCATCATTGAGCCTCGTCTGACGATGCTGACGGAGATTGCTAACAACTTCCTCACGACCATCATCGATGGACTCGAGGAGGCGCCGTACGGCATCCGCTGGATCTGCAAGCAGATTCGAAGTCTAACGAAGCGGAAGTACCCTGACGCCAATGACCAGGTCATCTGTACGCTCATAGGAGGGTTCTTCTTCCTTCGGTTTATCAACCCAGCCATCGTGACGCCCAAGTCGTACATGCTCATCGACGGACAGCCAGCGGAGCGGCCGAGGAGGACGCTGACATACATCGCCAAGATGTTGCAAAACCTCGCTAACAAGCCTTCGTACGCCAAGGAGCCGTACATGTCCAAGCTCCAGCCGTTCATCCAGGCAAACAAAGATCGCGTCAATAAGTTCATGCTAGACCTTTGTGAAGTACAAGACTTCTATGAGAGCTTGGAAATGGACAACTACGTGGCGTTGTCGAAGAAGGATCTCGAGCTCTCCATCACGCTCAATGAAGTGTACGCCATGCACGCGTTAATTGAGAAACACCACAACGAGCTCTGCAAGGACGACAATTCGCACTTGTCCATTATCATGGCTGAGCTCTCCGCCGCTCCCCCACAGGTCCCCCGCAAGGAGAACAGGGTCCACAACCTGCCACTGTTCAGCAGGTGGGAGACGGCCATCGACGACCTCACGGCCGCGCTTGACATCACGCAAGAAGAGGTATACTTTATGGAAGCCAAGTCCATCTTCGTGCAGATCATGCGGTCGATTCCCTCCAATAGCAACGTGGCACGACGGCCGCTGCGTCTCGAAAGGATTGCGGATGCGGCGGCTACGAGCCGCAATGACGCAGTTATGGTGCGTAAAGGCATTCGGGCGATGGAGCTGCTCTCCCAGTTGCAGGAGCTCAGGGTCATCGACAAGAGCGACCATTTTGGCCTACTGCGCGATGAGGTAGAGCAGGAGTTGCAGCATCTCGGCTCCCTCAAGGATGCTGTCATCAAGGAGACGGAGAAGCTTGATGAGGTTTACAAGACTATCCGCGATCATAACACATATCTCGTCGGGCAGTTGGAGACATACAAGAGCTACCTGCACAACGTGCGGTCGCAGAGTGAGGGCACCAAGCGGAAGCAGCAAAAGCAACAGGTGCTAGGTCCCTACAAATTCACGCACCAGCAGCTCGAGAAGGAGGGCGTGATCCAGAAGAGCAACGTTCCCGACAACAGGCGGGCCAACATTTACTTCAACTTCACGAGCCCGCTGCCGGGCACCTTTGTCATCTCACTGCACTACAAGGGTATGCCACAGTCATTTTGTATTGCTTTTGTCTCCATGCTAATCTTTGTCGCAGGGCGCAACCGAGGCCTCCTTGAACTCGATCTGAAGTTGGACGATCTTCTTGAGATGCAAAAGGATAACCAGGACGACCTTGACCTGGAATACGTACAATTCAACGTGCCCAAGGTGTTGGCGCTTCTGAACAAGCGCTTCGCGCGGAAAAAGGGATGGTAGACCATGTTTGAGACGACCTGCAGCTTGTGCTGTTGCTACAGGAAATACCCCCCCTCGAATGACTTGGCTTTGGCGTTTTCGGCGTCTTTTATACCCTCGAGGCCGTGCGTCGCAAGTCCAAGGGCTTGTCCGACCAGGCTTGGATCGAGGCGTCCGCCGCCAAGCGATCGTTGCGACGCGCTCGGTTTGTTTCTTTTCCCGACTGATCCTGCAATGCGAGTCGTTTCTTTGCACTTATATATCTGTTACGTATCCCCTAATTCTTACGCCCCTTGTTTTATGGCTAAGCATGCGCGTGGCGATGTGTCCAAAGTTTGGGGCTCGGCTGGTCCGCGGATCTTTTGGATTTTGGGCCGGATGATTGAGTGCTTTGCTAGCGAGGCGAAAGGGGCAGGCACCAATCGATCACGGAGACGAAGCACAGGGGAACACATAATCGGTGATCAGATGGTCCGACCTGTCGGACGCTACAGCTCATAGTTTCTTGGTTGTGTTAATAGTGGATAATATTGGCTCTATTTCATGTCCTCTCAAGAAATTGACTGGACTGAACGCATTTGCAGTGTTTTGAAAGCAGAAAATTTGACTTGACCTGGCTACCCCCATCGATGCGCTCCAAAAGAAGACAGGGTGGGTATATCAACTGAACGCCGATGTAGTCGTAACAGGAAAAAAGTGACAGCATTGCCTTGGCTTACGAAAGACCACCCATAAGCGTAATTTGAGCAGGAAACAAGAGGACGAAAGAATAAATCAGACAGTCACTTTCAATCGATCCCCGCGCCTCGCAGCCGTGTCCTCCTTCACCTCAACCGTCTTCCCATCGGCGCCGCTCTTCCATCGCCACGATCCCCAGCGAATCCACCCCTCGCCGTCGGTCTCGCCGTCAGGAGCGTCCTCGGGCCCTCGCCGCACGGTCAGCCGCCTCTTGCGCCGCGGCTTGACCTCGCCCGTGAGCGTCTGCACGCGACCTGGGGCGCGGGGCGACGGCGCCACGGGTTCGGGGCCGCGCAGCTTGCGCACGAGGTCGTCGCGGGCGCGGCGGATGCGGTCCGCGGCACGCTTGAAGAGGGAGTAGCCCGTGCGCGTCTGGAGCAGGATGAGGAGGAGGATGAAGGGAACGCAGACGAGGACCATTGTCAGGGCGAAGCGGAAGTCCGAGGGGGGGATGGTGAACTCTGTTATGCCAAAGACGGACTGTCACTTCGTCAGCTCAATTCCCGCTTTCCCCCTCCATGAAGGGAGCAGTCTAGCAAGAGGAGAAAAAAAGACAAAGCTACTCACCGTCACAAACGTCAGCGGGAGGAATACCATGGAGCTGAGGGTCAGAATCTTGATGTTGTCGCCCTGCTCGATGGCGCGACGGCTCTCCTTGATGGAGCTGCCACTGAAAAGCTGGTCGCGCAGATTTTCGATTTCCTTGCGCGTCGCCGTGTTGCGCTGGGCAACGTGCTCGAGATCACGGCAGGCGCGTTCGAGCTCGGTGCGCAGGCCGGCCATGGTCTCACGCCAGGCGATGGCATCGGGCCCGTCGGGGTCCGGGTGCGGCCAGACAGCTGAGTGGCGCCCGGCCCAAAAGTCGTCTGTGAATGAGTCGGCGTAGGCGGCGAGCATGGCACGCAGGCCGGCATTGATGACGCCAAGTGTGTTATAGGCCCAGAAGTAGCGGCGAATATACGTGAACCGCTTGTCCTCGAAGAGCAGTTTGTCGCGAAGTGACGGGTCAAACATAAAGTCAGTTGGCGGCGTGATGAGCTTAGTGATGCGTTCATGGATGGCGATGTTGCGCCGCGTCGCGTCGCGGTACTCGGCGGCCAGGGCGTCGAGGAAAGCGTGTGGCCCGCTAGGGAAGCGACGCCGCGGCAGGTCATCTTCAGAACGCACCGTGTGCTCGTCGTCCGGGAACGACTGGAGGCTCAATAGATGCCAGGGCGCGAATGGGTCGAAGACTGGACCCTCCTGGGGGCCTTCGCGACGCTTCGAAATCTTGACAGACTGCACGGCCGGGCCGGCCAAAGAAAGGGCCAGGACGGACGAGCACTCAGCAATGTCAATGTGATCGAGGGATCGCGCGTCCGATGGCCGCTTATCGTACTTTTGCCAGGCCGCAGGCTCGAGTCCCTCGCCCACGACGGTGTAGTACTTGAAAACAAAAAAGGCCGATCGCTGACGCACCTTGTTTGGTGTGTCATCCTTGACAAAGGCGCGGTTTACATAGGCGCGCGTCTTGCCCTTGTTCTCTGCGTCTGTGGTGAAGTGTCTCAACAGCTCTGTCATGTCAAAGTATGGTGACATGGTAAGGTGAAGCGCTTCAAGCATGAGAGGCGTGGGTTCCTGAAGGGTCGTCATGAGGCCGACGGCCTGGCCGTTGCTGTGAATTTCTTTGAGGGCATTCCAGACTGTCGGGGCGTCGACGATCTGACTGGGCGTGATGACCTGCGGTAAGCCAGGGGTTTGGTGGTTTGGCTGCCTGCCAACCGGCGTTGCTAGTCCATCGGCATCAATGTCGTACAGCTCGAGAGTCGAGCTGATGAAGCCCTCATGCTCGTAGGCGGCAAAGCTGGCAAAGTCGCCATTTTCGTCGATATCAGACTGCTTGTCCAAGATGTCCTTGATGGCCACCTCAGCCACGCCGTGAAATTCGGTGCGCTTGAGATGCCGCATCAGCTCGCCGTCGGTCCACGAGCGACGTTCGATGGGGCGAGGCACAGCAGGAGCGTATCCATTGCCACGTTGCGGGGCTGCCGGGTCGAGGAGCGGTAGGAACTCTACCTCGTATTCCGAGTGCAGTGAGGCTGGAGTGTGCTTCCTCTCAATGCTGAGAAACTGCGGCCGCCTTTCATTTGGGTCGAGAGTCGGGCGACGGCTTCTTGGGCCAGGCGACTGCGATGGAAAGGTCGCATCGCCAAGGAGCTGAGGGCTCAAGGCTGGACTGCTCGCAGGTCTCAGCAGAGGCGAGACAGGGATTGTCGAGCGCGACTCGGATCGCTGGCGAACGGACGATGCCAGGGCGTCGTGCAGGGTGCGCAAGCTACGCAGGTATTGCTCGTGAGATGCTTCGACAGCACGCAATAGCTCGTCAGGGTTCTGGTGGCCAGCCATGTTGCCAATGGCCTCACGCGTCTTTCTACGTCAAGGACGGAAGGCAAAAGGCGTGAGATGAAATAGTGGGTGCAGTGAGAGGGAATTGATCAGACATCGCTGCCTTTTCTACACCTTTTGGCAGCGGATACCCAGCCTTACAGTCGCAAATGACACAAGCATTCGCCCTGCTGCACAGAGTAAAATGGATAGAAATGCCATGATTGTGCTGTGCATTAGCCTAGGCAGCTTTCATATGAACAAGTGGTCGATCAGTGCGGCTGTGCTGTGCCAGCCTCGAACGATGGGCGTGGTGACATGGGGGTGGGCGGGACAATGAACGGGTCATCCGCCAGTTTAGGACGACAGCTTCTTGTGACAGTAACCAACGCATGCGAGCTCATCATGAGAGGTATCCTTGGACGACAGGCTCGGGCCGCGCGCCGTTTCATGTCGTCAGTCGAGAGCCAGTTTCTCCGGTTATTCCGGCTCACTTTCTGCAAGGCTGGGTGAGCTTTCTGAAGGCAGCTGGGCCAGGCTTCAGAGCCGAAGTTCGGCAGCTAGGCGGAGCAAGGCAGCGGCCCAACGTTTTTGGGGCTGTCGATGGCGTCGTCCTTTCGCTTGTCAACTCTTCGGTGTCTCGCGGCCCCGAGCTTGATCCTGCCGCTGAGGCGGCTGTTCTCGGCACAGCCGAATGATGACAAGCCGAGATAGTGAATGGCTAGCGCGCGCCGCCTCACTGCTATGACCCAAACCCCCCAAGGCAGCGGAACAAGTCGGTGCTTAAAGCTTGATCCAACGTAAGCGACTTCTTCTGTTCCTCAAGATGCTGATGAGCCCCATCAGTCCTCATGACACGTTGCCAAGCCCATGCCACTCCGGTGCAATATCCTACACAGCACACGGGCGCTCTGCTGAAAGTGCAAGATCGAACCCGATATGCGTCTTGAGTGGCCGAAAGGGGGCCTTGGTACGGGACGCTTGGGGTCACAAGCTAGTAAACGCCCTCTAGCAACCTTGCCCTCTTGGCGCTCGTCAACTCTAAGACACCTCCCCTATAGAAAAACAGCTGCATTCCAAATTCTAGGGACTGCCTGGTATCTAAGCACTGGCCGGGGCTCCCAATGCTGTCCCGCGTCCATTAATCCGCTCTGGACAAGCCACATGCCATTGAGCTTCTTCATTCCTGTGCAGTCATCCATGTCATAACAAGGTTCGTCTCAGCAAATACGCTCGTCCGGCTCATAGTTCCCGCGAGCCATGTTTTCATCGTCCATCCAGTGACCCTTCCACGCGTTCCAGATCCAACCATAATCCAGAATAGGCCTTGGGTCAGACCGTTGTCACGGCCGTCTGTGAAGACGGCTCCTAGTGAGACTTGATCTCGGTGGGTTGAACCTGGGGAGCAGCCGCACCAACCACCTTGTCGGCAGCGTCGACGTCCATGACGTCCTCGTCCATGGCATCGCCTTCGACCTCGCCCTCTGCGAGCTCCTCGTCCTCGAGATCGTCTTCGCTCTCACCTTCAATGTCGACACTGCCATCATCAGAAACCTCGTCCTCTTCAGCGTCGCCGACGGCCTTGCCGTTCTTGCCGTCCTTGTCAGCTTCGCCGTTCTGGCCGTTCTCTGTCTCGACACCGGCCATCTCAGAGTCTTCAGCCGGGATGGCGACCTTGCTCTCGCCGTTGGCGCTGGCATCAGCACCCTCGGCGCCGTTGGCATCAGCCTCCTCCTCCTCGCGCTCCTCGGCACCATATTCATCCTCATCGGCGGCAAGGTCGGCCTCGGGCTGCTCAGGGGGGAATTCGGCCGGGGCAGAAGCATCAGAGTCCCTGAGTACATAGTTAGCGTCGTGCTACAGCCATGGACCGACAGCAAGGCCACGAACCACTTGATGGCGAAGCGAGTCACACGGGGCTTCTCGGACAGAATGTTGCGGCGAACGCGTTCGATGATGGGCTTGGAGGGAGGCTCGGCGTTGAGCTCCTCTGAGTCGTACTCATTGTTGACATAGTAACCGACGCGAATGAATTCGCGACCATCGTAGGCGCAGGTCAAGAGAATCACAGTGACACCGAGGATATCGGCGTCAGGGATGCGCGTGGTGTCGGGAGCGCCAGCCTCGAATATGAACTTGTTGACGCCCACAGGGATAGGACCAACAAGAAGGTCATCGAGTTCCTGGTCGTACTGGTCACTTGTGGCGGAACCGACGTAGGTGAGCTTCCATTCGAGATCTGCACGCAAGGCGGTTCGAGTCAGTGACGTGCACGCTCATGGACAGGGAGACGCGCAAAGGAGCACGCGCCAGACATCGCAAGGTACACATACCCTTCTGCAACTGCTCAAGGCATTCGAAGGTGATCTCGAATTCGTACTTGTCGGTGAATTTGGCAGGGTTGTTCAGGACCCGAACGCCAAGAAGCGAGACAACCGACATGTTGGAAGTGGTGAAGCGGGGAGGCAAGAGAGCGGTGAAGCGGGCGTTGCGTGCAGGCGACAAGTGGGTATCGAGAAAACGGTGGTTGAAGAAGAGAAAATGGGAAACGGATCTGCGCACGGAACGACTCAAATAGACGCGAGCGGGCGAGAGGGAGGAAGGGAGGGAAGTTGTTGTTTTGCTTGAGGAGGGGGGGCAGAAACGGTTGTGTGAGAAGAAGAGGGATGAATGGTGGTGAGATTGGATGAGGAGAGCCAAAACAGACGCCTATCGCAAATGGCCCTAGAGGGGGGGTTGATCTCTGTGATGGCGGGACGACGGGCGGGGACCTGTACCTGCCCCCAGACTGGGACCTGGACCTGCCTGCATCGCACTTTCCTCACTTGTCTTGCTTTCCTTGCTTGCCTGGTTGCTTTGCTTGTGCTTTCCTGACCAAGCGACCCTGGGGAACGCGCCTGCCCTGGGTCGGCCAGGCCCACGACCCGCGATTTTCGCGTAGAGTGGTCGCTGCCGTTGGGTTAGTCTATATTAGGGAAGGTGCAAGGGAGCCCCTGCCGCCGATGTTCTGCCTGGCGACCGCCTTGTCCGCTAGCCCTCTTTTGGTCGTTCTGCCAGGGTCGTGCCTACTGTCCCAGTTCTTTCCGCGGCTCAAGCTTCTGGCGTCAGCCCTCTGACTTTTTGCGCTGTCCAACCTTCCTCATCGCCGTCTTTGTCACGCCAGCCAGCCCATCGCCAGCCCATCCTCTCACGGCGAGGGAGTGCCAGCGCATACGACCTGCTCTACAGCTACCGTTTTTGTCGGCCTGTGTCTGCCGACGATTTGCCGTGTTTCAGCTCCCTTTCCGCTGCTTATTCTACTGACCAAGCTTGGTACTCGCATTCGGACGACCATCGACAACGCTCTCGACAACCGACGACCGCCAGCCCACGCTCGAAACGAATTGCTTCCAAGAACCATCGGTGGAGCTCTAGGTCAACACCCTCTCGCCTGTTTCTGCCGTTATGGCGACTCCGGACCCCCAAGAAAACGAGCAAGAGTTCGAAGGTGCTTCCTGGGAAGAAGAGGAGGAAGACGGGTATGAGGGTGCCAATGAGACTCAGCATAGTGACCAAAAAGATCAAGAACCCGACTCTGCACTTGCTCAACCTTCCCACGGTGAACCAGAAGAACCAGAAGACGAAGGCGACGATGACGAGGATGGCGAAGATGATGGCGAAGATGGCGAAGAGGACGATCAAGAGGACATAGAGGAACAGGATGAGATGGAGGAGCTGGAGGAACAGCAGCAAGACGATGACAACGATGGCGAAGGTGATGGCAGCGACGATGGCGCCGAGTACGACCCCGAGTCCGTTTCGATCACACCGATCCCTCAGATTACAGAACCTGCTTCCGCCCCTACTCCTACCACTGCCCCCGCGCCGGCCGCGCCGGCCAAGCCAAGGGCTGCAAAGCCCAAAGTGTCTGGAGGATTCCTAGTGGGAGACTCGGACGATGAGGACGATGATGCGCCCCGTTCCAACTCTGCACTAGGTCAGGTGGCCTCCATTTCCCGCCCACAATCCGCCCTGAATGTGTCAACACCCAACCAGGGCCAAGTGGGCGCCTCGTCCACGCCGGTCAACGGTGGGCCTTATGCTCCTCCTGCTTCAGTTGCTGCTGCTTCCGCGCCCGCGTTCGCCACAAGCGCTTCTCCTAGCGTAAGCGCACATCAGACTACCACAATAACTGCTGGCAGGGATCCAGGTGACGTTATCGGCCGACTTGAGGATCGGATCAAGGAAGACCCTCGAGGCGATATGGACGCATGGCTTGCGCTCTTCGCGGAGCTCCGCCGCCTTAGCCAGGTCGATGCTCTGCGCCAGGCCTACGACCGCTTTGTCACAACATTCCCACAAGCTGTAAGTCCCTCCATCAGCGCGCGCATCTCTTCCGCCATGCTGACGAATCCAGGCCGACATATGGGTTGAGTGGATCAAGCTTGAACTCGACAGCATGAATACAACTGCCGCCGAAGCACTTTTCCAACGCAGCCTTCTCACCGTTTCAGATGTTCAGCTGTGGACTACCTATATCAACTACATCCGCCGCCGAAATGACCTCAGCAACGATCCTAACGGCCAGGCACGGCAGGTCATCAGCCAATCCTATGAATTCATCATCGATAACGTGGGCATGGACCGCGAATCCGGCTCACTGTGGAAGGACTGGATTCAGTTTATCAAGAGCGGGCCTGGCGTTGTCGGTGGCCCTGGCTGGCAGGACCAGCAGAAGATGGACCAGCTGCGCAAAGCTTACCATCGTGCTATTACTGTGCCCATGTCAGCCCTAACGGAGCTCTGGAAGGATTACGATCAGTTTGAATTGGGCCTGAACAAAGCTACGGGCCGGCAATTCATCCAGAAGAGGTCGCCTGGCTACATGACGGCCAAGTCTGCTTCCCTTCAAATGGATCGCAAGATTGGCAACCTCAACCGCACTTCCCTGCCTCGTCTTCCTCCAGCACCAGGTTTTGCTGGCGCTACCGAGTACATGGAGCAAGTCAACATCTGGAAGCAGTGGATTCAGTGGGAAAAAGAAGACCCGCTCGTTCTTGCGGATGACGAACCCGAGGTACTGAAGCAGCGCATTCTCTACGTTTACAAGCAGGCCCTGATGGCATTGCGTTTCTGGCCCGAGATGTGGGTGGACGCTGCCGAGTGGTGTTTTGAGAACAGCATCTTCAAAGACGGGGTCGATTTGGGCATCAAGTTCCTCACAGACGGCATTGCGGCAAACCCCGAGAGCGTTTTACTGGCTCTCAAACACGGCGACCGGATTGAAATGACACTTCCCGTTGCCGATACTGAGGAAAGCAAGGAGGAGCGAGCAAAAGCAATCCGCGAGCCCTATGACCAAGTCTTGGAGACGCTCTATCATATGATGCAAAAGTTGAAGGAACGCGAAAAGAACGAGCTTGCCAAGATCGAGAAGGCAGCGACGGAGCACGCTGGGCGTAACGACGGGGATGATAATGACGACCAGGATCAGACACTTGCCCTCGAGCAGCGAACCCAGGCTGTCAAACAGGGCTTCAGCCTTCAGACTGAACTGCTGAAGCGTACTATTTCCTTTATCTGGATCGCTCTTTGTCGCGCGATGCGTCGCACGCAGGGCAAGGGATCACAGACCAAGGGCCTTAGGCAGGTCTTCACCGAAGCCCGTGGCAAGGGTCAGTTGACAAGCGATGTCTATGTGGCTGTCGCCTTGATAGAGTCAGTGGTATACAAGGATCCTGCAGGTGGCAAGATCTTTGACCGTGGCGCCAAGCTGTTTCCCGAGGATGAAGGCTTTATGCTAGAGTACATCAAGTACTTGCACCTGAAGGACGACACAACGAGTAAGTGGTACGGTCAGCATTACATCGTTCACAGCTAACATTTCGTAGACGCTCGCGTCGTGTTCGAAACGTGTGTCAACCGTCTAACGCAAAAGCCCGAGAAGAAGCACCGGGCCAAGATGCTCTACAAATACTTCCACAAGTATGAGGCGCAGTTCGGCGAGCTGTCGTCTGTCGCGGCACTGGAACGGCGTATGGCGGAGCTTTGGCCAGAAGATCCCAAACTTTCTCACTTTACAGAGCGGTACTCCGTCGATAGCTTCGACCCTATTGCTTACCGACTGATTATCTCACCTGCCGTCCAGCTGCGGCCCAATCTCATCATGCCCTCGATTGAGCAGGCCACCTCTGTCCGTGACGCTACTCCGTTGCCAGCAGCTCCGCCTGTACCAGTGCCAGTGCCGGCGCCCGCTCCTACTACCGTTCGGCAGACAGCGAGCCCAGCGCCTCAGTACCTCGGGACGACAAATTCTCCGAAAAGACCTTATCCCGGCGATGACCAGGAGGAATACAACCGCCCGCGCAAGCTCGCTCGTGGACAGTCGCCTCTCAAGGGCGCAGCAGGTCGCCGTCTTGACCAGCAGCGACAGAACCAGGGCGCACCACTTGCTCGAGACATCACATTTTTCCTTGGTATCCTACCCCCGACACACTCGTACAATGCCCAGCTCTTCAGCACCAGTGGCCTCGTGAACCTTCTGCGAGACACCCCCGTGCCCGATTACAGTACGTGGAAGGTCAACCAGGATCAAGGCATGCGGCAGAACGGGGCACAGTCTCGTGGAGGGCCTTCGGCTCATGGCCGTCAGCCCTCTGGCGGAGACTACTCATCTTACAACTCTTTTTCTGGGGCACGGGATTCGCCAAACCCCCGCCCACTTAGTCCCTACGAAGGCGCTGCAGGCCGCCGCATCGCCTCGCAATCAGCCTACAGGAACTCACCTTTGAGACCAGAGCCTGGTGCCACATTTGAAGGTAGTTCTGGGGCCTACCGCCAAGATACGCAGCAGCAGTTTACGCAACCACCTCCAGGCCAGTGGCCGCCGCCGAGTGCACCACAGTTCGAAGGCGGTGCCCCTTCGAGCTGGCCGCCGCCACCGAATGGCTACTCTGGATATACAGCCCCCCCTTCGCAGCAGTACGGACAATATCAGTATTAGGGATCGACGCCGGGGAAGACCTGACGGCGAGGCTTTGCTCGAATTCCTTTTATCAACATGCTGGCGGACCGGGGCATGCAGAAGCAAGTGTACAAATGACGGTTTCCAGCAGATGGATGGATGGATGGTCTGCAATTTTGTAATCTAGTCTGCGCAATGGCGAGCCGCAGTTGCCACTTTGATACACGGTGGCCAGAGTAGTATTCACCGGGGCAATCATATCTCTGAAGGAAGGGATAGGGGGGGGGGAGAGGATGGAGTGAGTTCCTCAGAAGGTACAGTCTTGGTGATTCCTCATGCTGTTTTCGCTTGGCGTGCCTTCACCTGGTGAGTCGAACGGCAAGCACGTGACAGTCAAATGCGAAAATAGCATCTTATGTAATCCATCTCAGTCTATACCAATGAACTCCTCCGTATCCACCTCCAAGCTCACCTTGACACTCATCTGCCCTGCCTTCACATCTCTAACGGCTGCGCATTGAACAGTGAACGTAGCTAAGATGCGAGTCCTTGTGCTTTGCAGCCCTTCCCCTTTCACATCAAGCCATGGCTAGCTCCAACAAAACCGTCAAATTTGTCGAATCCGACCCTTCAGGTCTCCCCTTGAAGCGAAAGCAGGTTCAGCAAGCGTGCGAGTCATGCCGAAAGCGCAAGGTGAGTCCTAGACTGGTGGCCTTGACGAGCCTCTTGCTGACATTGCATAGAAGCGCTGCATTCACACAGAGGGCGATGAAGACGCTGATGTCTCAAAGAGCCCCGGTTCTCGAACTCGGAACCACGATGGCACTCCCAACGGCCAAGGGGACCATGGTCTAACACCGTCCGCGCACTCGTCTAGACGCTTCGTCTGCGACACCAACCCAGAAGGCTTGTTCGCTGAGGCAACAGGCTCGGACGCTCTGGGAAGCAAGAGGGGCAGCCGCTTCCTCGGCGACACGAATCCCGAAGGCATGTTTGCAGAGGTGACGCACAGCGACGGCGCCACAAGCACAGCTCGCAATGACGAGGTCGGTGTTTGGGTATCTACAAGACACGATACATCAGTCGCGCCAGAATCTGCCAACGTGACGGCGCCACACCCTGCCATTCCCTACGACGAGATTCTTCTTCCCTACGTCCAAGAACACTGCTTGACCTGTGTCCCTCCTGAAAGGGAGTACCGCCAGTTGAAGAAAGTTTACACCCGCAAGATCCATCCCATCTACGCCCTCGTACCCGACTCCGCCATGACCGACAATGATTCTCCAGCCAACATTGTGCTACGCCAGGTCATTTCCTTGGCAGCCGCTACTGATCCCTCTATGGCGAACTATTTGAGGCTAAATAACAAGGGCAGTGAGAAACTGTCATTTGTGGAGTTCTCGCAGGCTCTCTCCGGTGCTATTCGCACAACTCTGGCGACGAGCTTGATCGTCGACAGGACGGTACACATTCGGGCTCTTTCCATGCTGTCGCTCTATTTCCAGCCGTCCTCTCTCCAGGAGAGCGAAGTCCCCGCCCAATTCAACGCCGAGGCAATCCATCATTCCCAGACCCTCGGCCTTCACCTGCTGCGCACCGGTGACCCGGCGCTCGAGACGCTCTTCTGCGCCGTATGGGCGGTCGATAAAATCAATGCGGCTGCTTATGGTCGGCCGCGACTGCTTCACGAGCGAGACTTTGCGGCAACTTTAGAGGAATGTTTCAGTCGACAGGAGCCATGTTTTCGGCTATACCTGTCTATGTCGCGATGGCTTGACAGAACAATTGATTTGTATCGACCTGCAGCGAGCGCTCATGCTCTCGGCGATCTCAAACCATTTGTCGAGCTGCCTGTACTAGAGCCGATGATCGTCGAAGCAAACGCGCTGGAGGTGCCGACCCATCTCCTCGGTAAGCTGAATTTCCTCATCTTACATTGTTCGGCGAGCTAACCACGTCTAGCCACACTGGAGGTCTTCTATCACGCCGTCATCATTCTATCATGTAGGCTGCCCCGACCTGGTGCGGAATCAAATCAGTCGTCCTACGCCTCAAGCATCCCTCCAGCAATGGCCAACGCCCGCCGCTCGCTGGCATCAGAACGCATCGCCCACGCCGTAAAGAAGGAGAAGCTAAGCCCCGTCCCGTTTATTCCCTACGCCGTTTCTCTTTCTCTCAGCGTGGAGTACCGCAAGATGCGCCACTCGGCGTTGCCAATGTTCCGCGCCCGCTCGCGCGACGCCTTCAAGTCCAGCTGCGAACTTCTGAAGCGGTTCAAGAATATATTCTACTCGGCCAAAGTCACCTACGGCCTGGGCGAGCGCATGCTTAAGGAGATGGAGCGTGCCGCCACGACGCTCGTGCAGGAAGCACCGCCGGCGGCAAACGCTTCGGAGATCTCCAGTGAGCCGACACCCGAGGTCGCCTTCTCGGCCGATCCACAGGACTTCGACATGTCGATGAACGGCATGCCGAATCTCGACTCGATCGATTTTAACATGGATGTGTTTGGCCATTTCGACCCCAGCTTCGATCTGACAATGGCGGACAACGCGTTGGAGGGCAACCTCGACATTGGACTTCCCCTGAATTGGGGCGAATGGGCACAATTCGGCAGCTAAGAACGAGCCCACGGCGGTTCAATACCTGAAGCAGACGCTCAGGCGATTCAAGCAGGAGAATCATGATCTACAAGAGACACATTGGAGACAAGTGACTTGTCGAAATATATCAAATCTCACGGGAGGAACGGGCCAAGGATGATCCAGATGTATGAAACTATATGATGCTATACACATCCATATTACCCAGGATCCTGTAAGCTTCCTGGCGCAAACATGAAATTCGGACCAGAGCTTTGGTGCACATGCTGCTCTACACGCAGGGCATGTTCTCACGCAAAGTTCCAGCAGCTGGACTTGTACAGAGGGTGGTCGTACTCATACAGGACCTTGCTGTAGATGTTGGCAATGTAGGCGACAATGTCGAACTTGAAGGTGCTCGCGAACCAGGCGCCATTGGGACAGGTGACGCCCTCGGGACGGGCCAAGGCGATGCCGGACTTGCTCTTGTACTCAAAGTTGGCGTCGGCGGACCAGGCGTTGATGACCTGAGGCTTGAGGTCGACGCCGGCGGTGAGGTCGATCGCGCGCTTGAAGGCCTGCACGCCGATGGCGAGGTTGAGGTCGAGGTAGGGGTTCAGCTGCAGCGAGACCTCGGCGTTGAGATCGCTCGACATGGTCGTCACGGGCTCCCAGCCGCTGGTGCTCGACTTGTCGCTGTTGGCGAGGTTGAGGTGAATCTTGCCGGCGGGGATCTCGCTGTGGAGGCCGAGGCTGACGTCGACGGCGCCCTCGGCGGCGAACTCGACGCCGATGCCGAATGAGGCGATGGGGCCGACGTCCAGGATGCCGGGGATGCTGAAGGCCGAGATGGACGCGGTGAAGGGCTCAAAGTCAAAGACGTCGGTCGAGTAGGAGGCGCCAACGTGCGCGGAGAGGTTGAGGGCGATGAGGGACGAGTAATCGATGTCGAGGGACATGGAGCTCGCCTTGAGGTCGAGGAAGTTGAAACCGAAGCTGCCGGCGATCTGGACCTTGCTCTCGAAGCGCGCCTCGTCAATGTTGATCTTGAGGTCCGTCAGGTCGGCGAGCTTGCCGATGATGTCAGGCGTGATCAATGACTTGAGGTCGCGCTTGGCATCCGCAGCAGGGTTGGTGTCGAAGCTGACGGTGGCCTGAGCACCCTCGTCGTTAAGGGATGTGCGCTTGCTGCTTGCCGTGGCGACGAGCTTGGCATTGTCAAAGACTAGATCGGACAGGGCGAACCAACCGCGCTCGTCGGACGGGTTGCAGCCGTCATCTGGGGAGTAGGTAAGGACGGTAAGCTCCTTGGGCCAGGCTGCCGTGGCGGCTTGCAGGGAAGCGAGGTCGCTGAAGTTGATAGTCACGGAAGAATCGTGGCACTTCACCGAGGAAATGCCATCGACCTCCTCCAGTGCCACAGCGGGCTGCTTCAAGGCAATGTCGACAAGGGCCGTCATCTCGCTGCCAGCATATCCCAGGACGACTTCCTTGGCTGGCGCCACGGACTCTTGCCTCGTCTTGAGCTTGAGTGAGGTCCCTAGTTTGGTGGAAAGGATGTTTGCACGACGAACCGGATTCAGGATGACGGGTGCCGGCTTTTCGACCAACTCCGGCACGGAAGGGATATCCGCAGCCGCGCGGACTGTGACGCCTTGGCCATGGTTAGGCTTGATTCCGGGGCGCTTAACGGGCTTGAGGATAGCCGGCGGACCGGCGGGAACGGCGGCACCTGAAGAGGTGCCGACCAAGCCTGCCAAAGCGCCGATGGAAAGAAGGAGGGATGAACCAGCCTTCATATTGGGATTGGTGCTACTGGGGTGTATTAAAAAGGAGTAGCAAGCAGAGCTGCAATTATGAAACGAAAGACTGTGTTCTTGAGCTGAGGAAGAGTGATCAAGTAAACACGGAAGACTGCTGAAAGCTGCTTGCCAAAAGAAAGAAGCATCCTCTGAGCGACGAACTCCTTGGGCTTTATAGGTAGACAATATGAAGTCTTGCCGAAGACCTCGAGTCGTGACATGTGGACCACGACAGGCAGAAACAGACAGGACAGGACGGCATAGTCCGTAGGCCTGCCTGCCGCCGATACTGAGAGTCATCCCTGGCCACCGAGGTGCCGCTGCGCCTGGCCCGCCAAGTCCCGATAGGGTCCGAACGCCAGCGGGCTTGGTTTGACGGGCGACGTAGGAGTTCACCCTACCTGTACGTTCACAGGGCTGAGGGGTCGACAGAGGCAGTGAGCGTAACAAGATGGTGGGCCTCAGAATGCTTGGATGGGTCAAAGACTGGGATCCGCATGTGTCCAAACGTGGAATCAGCCTCCCCTCCCTCCTTGACACGAGGCAGGGTCAAGGCCCTTTGCGGATATCCCGAACTGTTGGCGCTCAGGGTCCGCAGTGAAGCTCGGACAGCCAAGACCTGCTCTCTGGCACCCGGGGCACGACTTGCTCTGGGGGGGTTGTGGCTGCATTGTGTTATGCATGTGCTTAAGAGAAATAACACCGCTAACTATAGGTGGGGGACTTGAGTCGTAACCATGTTCATCTTGACTCGAAGACAATACTGGGACTGGGAGGGCTAGGCACTGCCCGGTCATGCCGGCATTGTCAAGAGGAAGGCTTCGACAAGAAGCTTAATTTAGGCATGAGTGCTCATAGGCCTACTCTCAGCGAATTCAAGATGTTGTATCCGGCGTCGTGGGATGATCGCTCCACCACGATTTCAAACAGGCGGAGTTGAGTTGATCCCGTCGTATCGCGTATCGTCAAAGTAAAGTCCGCTTGCAGGTGTCACTCTGTCCCAAAGCTTAGTAGCATCATCAACGCCGATTCTTGGATGTCAAATGCTGCAGGCGACTTTGATTGAAGGGGCAACCCTTAGCGCAACGCGTATTCCCATGCTGTAGCAGCCTTTTACCATAACATCCGGCCTGCCCAGGTTCTCTTGTGCAGATTGCCGTGCCCTTCGGCTCAACAATCATTAACAGGATTGGCCGGGTCGAAAAAAGCGAAACCGAGAATTTAGGTTGAATTAGTGAACTTAAGACTATGCGTACTTTACTGAGTTTGCTGCAAGGGATATCGTCTTCACGGAACCGACAACTCACTCCACCCGGCTCGGAAGCATCCGTGTAGGGTTAGGGGTTATCGATGTCCCATCAAAGGTGTGCCAAATGTGCCGAACCTGACACTCCGCAACATCGATCACGTTCTCATACACGGGTCAAGACCAGAACATGTATAGTGCAAGCTTCAGCGTACTCAGTCATTTACTTGCAATTTGACCCGCGGAGAGTGAGATCTTGTTATGGTCAATGGGCTTGAGCTCGACCCTAACCATGGTTTGATCAGCCAATGTTGGTGGATACCATCCAAATCGGGCCAGGGGTCCAAGATCTACCCCATCTGATGTCAAAACGTGACCCCACACGCGCTTCGTCCGGACATGTCCTATGAGCAGGGGCTTGTAGGAGGCCTGGTCCGGTACGGAGGGCCCGGCGAGGCCAAAGCGTGTGCGGCCTGATGGCCGCACACTTGGCTTGGCGGCCTTTCTTGGTTGGCGTAGAGATATCTCAAGCCTGGACAGTACACATCATGATTGCTGACATGGACCAGGAGGTCAGTCCATTTATTTGTTTCACTCTTGTGTTAGTCCGTCGGAATCGTGAATGTAACCATCGAGAAGTGGTAAAATAACATGCAGCAGAACAAGTCGTTGCTTCTGTGACCATGGTAGCAACCTCCTCTAAAGCGCTAGCATGGACCGAATGCGATTTGCTTTCTCACCCTGCCGAGTGCGAATGCCGCCCGCGGTTCCCAGCTCCACAGCTCACTGGGAAGCTTGGAGTACCACTAGCCTGAGCCTCTTCCGTCCAACCTCCCCTCACTCGCTTTCAGACTAGGCCCGGAGGACTATGATTTGAAATCCTGTAGTCGTCATAAACAAAACCCGAACAATATCGCGAGCCCATTATGATGTTTCGATAGAAACTTCCCTTGCCGGGAACGGCGGAGGGAGCAAGGGAGCCCTTTTTTCTTCCTACGTTTCACCGACCAGATGCGTTCGAAACCTTACAACTGCTGACATTTAAACTTGCTGCTGCATTCGGGGATACTACTACTTCAGAATCGCGACCACGGGTAGAGAACCAAACGCTCACACATGTGATTCCTCGCTACTCAGACTTCCGGGCTTTTCTTGTCGTCAGCTACCCCAGCAAAGCTAACATCGCATACGTAAGTCTTGAAACCCCGCGCAGGCACCCTGTTGTTGAACATCTCCTGAATCTCGGCATAGTTCCGTCCCTTGAGCTCAGGCATGTAGAGATACAGGAACACGCACATGGGCAACGACAGGCCGAAGAAGATGAAGCAGATCTTCCCGCCAAGGTTGGCTTGATCAGTATTCAGCAGGTAGGGCATGACCTGGAAGACGACGCAGGACGCGGCAGTCGAACACATGATGTTGATGCTGTAGGTCTTCTGACGCAGCTGAACGCTGGACGTTTCGCCGCCAACCGTGTAGGCTACAGCCCCAAGAGTGGCATGGTAAAGGAAGCCCCAGATGCACATGAACGCGACAGTTGCGCTAAGAGCAGCCTGGGAACCGATTGTGCTGATGCCGCCAATGACGAGAAGAAGGGCGGTCATGATGAAGACACCGCCGACGATCATCGGACGGCGGCCAAGGCGGTCGACAAGTGGCCAGGAACACATGTTCCCGAAGAGTTGAATGGCGTAGGCAGCCTGTCCGATGGCCAAGGGATCGTTTACACCAGCGAGCCGGAAGTAGTATGTGAGATAGCCGCTGATGAAGTTGACACCGATCGTCTGCTGGGAAAGATAAACCATGACAATGATGAGGGTTCGGCGGCCGTTGGTGCCACGAAAGCACTCGATCCAGCTGCTTCCCTCTTGCTCTTTCTTAGCAGCCTTCTCCTTCTCCATTGCGATGGTGGCGACGGCAATGGCAGCGTCGACATCGAACGCAGGACCGTTGAAGCGGCGGAAAGACTTAGCAGCCTCATCTGGGCGGCC